AGAAAAACAAGAACCTGGAAAGAATAGGGCAAGATCGTCGATTAGTGAACTAAGAGAGGAAACAGTAAATATGGTTCATGCTGAATGAATGTTCAATATGTTATGAGCATTATTGTTCTTCGTTTTTATTCGGCGTCATGTAATGGATTTGGTTCAGTTTCTGATGTCGATTCTAGAACATATAAGAGAAGTAGATATTATAATAGTCGTAAGTACAGTAGAGAACATATGAATCTATTCGTAACGACAATTCTTACTTTCCTGTTGTTTTAATGTAAGATATTTGAGAGGTGGTCGTTTACGTGTTAATTCTCGTTCAGAATTCGGATGATTTCGATACCCAACAATGAGTCTAACAGCATCTAAACCATAACCTTCAAAAGCTTCACGAAAAATCTCATGCATATCTTTTTTCATAGTTGAAAATCGCTTTTCATGTGTATAGTGCATAATCATTGCGTCGTGAAAAATATTGTTTTTCGATTTTTTTGTGTCAGTTGTTCTTGTTTGAACAGGTTGTTCGAGATGAGATTCTTCATTGTTTTCCTTGAAATGTGCGATACGTGCTTCGACTTGAGAAGATCAGGCAGTTGGTTGATTCATATATTCTTGGCGTAATTGAAAAAAGTTTTCTTCGTTGTCAACTGTTGGTAGAATTGAATTTGATGATATGTAATTACCGAAGATGGTGGGTGTGGGTGTGGGTGCGGGTGTGAGGGTGTGGGGTAGATGTGCCGGTGTGGATGTGGGGGTAGGTGTGGGGTGTGGTGTGTGGGTGTGAGTGATAGAAAAAGACCAAAACTACACCAACACCCACACACCCACTCTGTTTGAAAATGTTTTGAATGAATGATGGCCAAACAAATTTTGTTCTATTTTATGCGTTTCTTATTCAAACGCGTACTATTTCTTTTATAAGCCTTCGGTGACGTTTGGACTGAACTGGATTCTACCGAAGAAAATTCTTATAGGGATAACAGGAAAAGCTTTTGATTGAAAATCAATGATAAATTCAAATTTTTTTCTCATCCACCGTCTGACGGAAAGCCTATCTTGCAGCTGCTCTATTGAATGACGTAAATGAATAACAAAATAATTGAAAGAAATTGATGAAACAGAAGGATCTACCAAAGTCTGTCAGAGTTTCGGTGTGGACTCCGAAAGAACTCTAATGGACCCTGCAGACCCTAGTGTTTAATTAATTTCTTTATTTACTTTGTAATTAAGGTTTTTTCAAATTACTTTTTAATTCATTTACATCATGGACTCGATGGGCTTATGATGAGTTTGAATTCGACAATACTAATCAACCTGAAGAAGATCAGTGAGTAGGAATTTCAATGTTTCTTCCGCTTCCTATTTGTTTTTTTCTGTTAGTAGGCATCAGTTATCCTTCAATGTACGATACATGATTTTGTTTGTTGACAACAAGTCTCTCTTTCATGCATTAACAAAAACAAACGAAAAAAAATCCTTTCAAAAACAAAAACATTCAAAACTGAAATCAAATCTTATGGTCTGAAAAAAGCATATCGCTAGCGAAGAGAAGAGAAAACATGTTTTCCAGTATGCATACATGTTCGCCATGCGAAAAGTACTGAATGAACAGTAAAATACTTCTCTAAATGAGGTTGTGTCAAGCGAGCAAACCCGTCCACAACCATACCTTCACACACATCTGAATACTGATTTATACATTTCATCGTTAATATCCATAGCAGATTCTTTTCAGCGATTTATTGAAAAATTCTTCACATCGATGAATACAAAAAGCAAACTATGGTATAGAAAAAGAAGTTGAAATCATTATTTATTCATGGTTACATTGTGTGTTGTAACATTTTACGTCCCCATTCAATGATTGTTTGAACATCAGGTGTTGTTTGAATCGTAGTACCAAGGTCTAAGCCGTATGATTGCCATTGTGCTAAGCTGAGTCGGACACTAATACCATTGACTTTGCATGTGAAAGCGACTTGTGTGCCAAATGGTATGTAAATAGTGTTATTTGCCAAATCTGGTACAAAGAGTCTGGTTGTATCACAGTTTTCAATATTGTATGGCACAGAACTTTGATAGAGTGTGCAGATGTTCTGAATCCAAGTTTCATTCCAGCCACTAGATCCAGGTTGAGGATTGTAATCATTGAGGCAATTGTTACTACCGAATCCGCCTCCACTTAAATCTGAATACACATAAATCTCATGATGATCTGTCTTTGAATGACCTAAATAGTTTTTCTTGCCACCATAAACAAGAAAATTATAGCTGTCTTCATAGAAACAGCTTCCATCGTCATGATCGATCGGCCATACAGAACGATAGTTGTTGAATAGAACATTATGATGAATATAACTTGTGTGTTGCCATAGTGAAGGTAAGCCTGACTCCACTGCATCAGTTAAAAATGGCTGTCGATCCCATGAATTTATTGGTCCATGGTCACTAGTTTCTCGAACAGTATTAAAGATGACGTTGTAGCTGATAGTATGATTACCATAGAAACCATCATTTATATTAATACCAGCTCGTGGCATATTGAACATTAGATTGCCAATGACCGATACGCTTCGACTCACGGAAATAAGTAATGGTGCTGATTGTTTGACATAAATACCAATTTCATGGATAAGATTTGATTGTATGAGTGTATTAGTCGGCTGACTCGCCACACTAAAACCATCGATTCCATTGGTACTACCAACAAGAATGATAGCTGAATCAGCTAACCATACGAATTCATTGGACATGATCGAGGTACCGTCATTATAATCAATCAAAGCTAGACCATTACTACCTAGTTGCGTAAATAAATTATGTGCGATGGTAATATTTCTTGTATTTATTAAATAAATAGTGCCACCTCGATGAACAGCCCAATCTCCGCCACTTGGTACCATATAATCTCTCATATAAGTATTACTTGTTTGTGTGAATATCAAACCTTGTATTAATATATTGTTAGCAGAATTTCCGATGTCACTGCCACTCACTGAAATCAGACAAGGAATTTGACTAGCAACGAAAACATTAGGCATTGTATCGTTTGGCATAAAATAGAGAGTGCGAGTGTTTTTATCCAAGAACCATTCATTTGGCGAGTCGAGCTCTTCAAAAATGTTTGAAACATAAAATGGACCACCGTTGCCTGCACCACGTGCTTCTTGAAAACCTCCGCGACTAAACATGATTGTATTTTCTGTAGTATTACTTGATGCTATTTCAAATATCCAACCACCCCAAAAGCCACCATGAAAAGTATGCACGAAACCAGTCGTCGGATTACTCCAGTTACTTAAATGAGGTAGTGCATCTTTTTTTACTGTGAGACCACGAGGAACAGCATAATTGTCTCCAGCAGGTGGTGACGCTGTACTCCAAAAGTTGCGGGGTGGATTGAAAACAGATGCACCGCCAGCTAGACCAATTTGATAATAAGGAAATACTGTACCAGCACGAAAAGGTGATTGTACATGTATGTCAATGCTAGGACTATGAACTGGTGGCACCCAACTTTGTGCATCATAAGAGTATCCCGGATCTTTTGCATACAAGCCCTGAGTAGAAGGATCACCATTGGGATATTTGGCGACGATAGCTCTTCTGTCATCGATGTATAATTCATTAAATAGATCAAGGTTGACAGAGGGTGGCACTTGAGCTTTCATAATTGTACCACCAACTGATGTTTTCGCATGAACGGACCATTGCAATTTTAGTAATGTTCCACCACTCAATACGACGCGTTCATTTTGATAGTTTTCAATCACGAGATTACTATCATTACTTGTTAGTGCAATCGCACCAATTTGACTACTTGTTGTAGTACTATTGGTACCCAAATAATAAGTTCCCCCACGTATGATGATGCATAATGTATTGTCACTACCATGCACAGCACGTAGACTACGTGTAAGAGATAAAGCTGCTTGGATCGTTTTCAATGGTCTTTCAAATGTCCCATCGAACAAATCATTACCTTTCAAATCATGCACAAATACGGTGTGATGACAAGCCCCCTTTTTCATCTCTGGTATCGTCTTGAACGGTTTAGCATCACTCGATGGTTGATAAACAGTATTGGACGTGCTGTTGCATTGGTTCATTTGGAAGGCACTTTGGCTTAATATCGTCCAATTAGTCTTCAGAGCCGTAGGTGCAATATATGCAGCCATTTCAATAGCAAAGGCTCGAAGTGCGCAGTCAATATCAAGTGGAACATTTAGATTACTAACAGTACTATACCGAGGGTGCTGTGATTCGATAAAATTTTTTGATACATGACCACTATGTGAAATATTCGCAAGAGCGACCACTATTAACGCTATAAAAGATAGGTACATCTTGACTCGTGTGCTTCTGTTGGTGTATTAAAAAAAATGTCGATCTATATACATATTCTTTTTTTTTATAGACTAGCTTCAACTAGGAGTGTGTATGTAAGATAACACATTTCATGGTGAGATAGGTATAGATAAGATGAAATTCATTATTGTGGCTGTTCTCTGATAGATAAAGATAAGATTGCATACCCACTGAATTGAAATGACTGTAACTTCTTTTTTAAACACCATATTTCTAATTTTACTTATTGCATTGTCTTTTTATTCCACTTATCAGTGTACATCATCCTTTTGGTAAAAATTGAGAGTCTATGGACTTCCTTGACTAAGTAATCCTTACAATATATTTTCTTAATACAGAAATCTTTTGCAAATTCATCAGTGCAAAATAAACTCTTTCATACATATATTTATCTTCACCTATTAGTTTCACATTTAATTAATCGAAATAAAAACCAACATATAAATAAATAAAAATAAAGTATTGGTATACTATTTATAACATTCCTTCCATTTCGAACGACAGTATTATTGTGGTTCTTTTCTTCACTTCCACTATCACTGCTGTCAATTACTGCAAATGATTTCTCTCCTTTTAAAATCATGGCTTTCTATTCTTTTAGATATTCTTGAGAGAGTAATTGTTTGTATCATTTTATGACTGCTGCTGATGGATAGTAAAAAAGTCTATTAAATTGAAATATTACTAATAATGTACAAATACTAGCAAGAAATCTACCATCATTACCAGTGAAAGGAACTCTTGGTGTTGATTTATGACAAGAACAATAGCGATCAATTATTATACATTCGATAACGAGCTTTGTTTCGAAGTAATTTACGTAATGTTACACTTCTATTTAATTCATCTTATCTCGTCTAACTTTTTATCTATTATTTTCATTTATAGAAAAAGACTATTAAACAAATACAATCAATGATAAATACAGCTACATATATCTTCCTATATTCTTTTGTAACAGTACCACATTGTGTTGAACGAACCCATGTCGTACATTTATTTGAACTACCGCCGGTATACCGCGATACTTGAAGAAATTGCCGGTACACCGGCGGTATACCGACGGTTTTGTTCAGTACCGCCGTATACCGGCGGTTTTATTAAGTACCGCGGTGTAACGGCGGTTTTCTTATGTGCCGCGGTATACCGGTGGTCAAAACGCTACCAAAATATACATATATTTATCTATATAGATGACTATTTTTGTTTCTTTAATTTAGATAATTCTCAACATAACAATGAAGAGTAAGTATTTATTACAGAAATTATAATATTTTTCTTTTATTTAGAGTAATCTCGACTCCAAGAGGTAAAGTAAGCATTTATGTAAATTATTTGTTTCTTTCATTTAGATCGATTTTAAGATCACAATGAAAAGTGAGTACTCATTTATAAAATAATTTTTTTCGTTGATTTAGAGCAATATTAACAACAAAAAGAAAAGTAAGTATTTTTTTATGCAAATTGTTTTTTTTCTTATATTTAGATCAATCCGAAAATGATCGACTTGACAAAACGACGAAACAAAGACGAAGCAACAATTGCTAATCATATCTACGATTCGAAGTCTTACAAATCTAAGAATAAATGTAAATTGTCATAGGTTGCAAGTTGGTTTAGGGAATCTATTTAATAAAAAATCCTCTTATTTTTTTTTATATATCGAAAGTTGTTTTTGAGTGAAATGTAACCGTTATTTAAATTCTTCTCGGAAACAGCTAAATTTCACTCAAAAAAAAAAAACTTTCGATATCTAAATAAAAAAATAAGAGGATTTTTTATTAAATAGATTCCCTAAACCAATTTGCAGCCTATGATAATTTACATTTATTCTTAGATTCGTAAGACTGCGGATCAGTAGATTCGTACCCTGATCGTGCCGGTATACCGCCAATTATTTCGTTACTACCGGTAAATACCGGCGGTTCACCCCCGGTATACCGCCGGTTTTTTGCAACTACCAGCAAAACCGCCGGTTAACCGTCGGTAGAGCGCACATTATACTGAACGGTCTACTGGCGGTATACCGCCGGTTTTTTCCCGGTTCGAATCACATGGGAAGTGAAAAGAAGAATGCTATACGTACAATACCAAATATCATATGAAGCAGACTAGTTGAAGCATATAAAAAGGGTAAACTTCCATAAAGATATGAAAAATGACAACAGAACATCTTTAACGAAAATTTCTTTGAAATCGAATAATTTTTTCTTTCTTTTATTCATTATCACTTCAAAAGAGTTGAATATCGTTATAGCAGGCCTCGCAGCGTGTGTACTTTCCTGATTTTTTCCTGATTTTTTAAGTGTCCTGATTTTCCTGCTTTTGACTGAAAAACCTGCTTTTGTCCTGATTTTTCACGATTTATCTCTGTAGGACCACATATACGTCATTTTGATGTTTTATTTTGTTATACTCAACGTTTCTTAAAAATTTTATGAAAATATTTGTTGAATATTTTCTATAAAAAGAAAGATGGTACTCAAATTTTTATTCTGTCCATTTTTTTCTTGTATAATCACTTTAAGAATCGATTATTTCGAATTAATTGGTTCTTGAAAGCAGCTATTTTATCATTAGTAATTATCACCAGTACTTCGGCGGTATTTATATCATACAGTTCACGACCGTGGGTAGCTGCATTAAATCTTGTATTCCCTCATGTTAACATTTTAGTCGATTTATTAAAGTTTTCTTGTAAACGCTTTTATTTGTTTATCTATAACATGGTGGTTTTATATGTGCGAAGAGCAGGGATATGAACAAGAGGAAAAGTAGCAGAAAGGAGAAGGAAGCGTGATGCAGGGAAATGGTTTCAGTGCCGAAAAGATGGTTATAGAACCTTAAACACTGCAAAAATGCGGATTTTTCTTATTTCTTTTTACGGCTATTTTTCTAATAAAAAGGCGATTTCTACTAGAAACAAATAAGACTCCAATAGTGAAGGATGCCCCCTTCTGTAGGCCACGTATCTGATAAAAAGAAAACGTATACACAATGCATAATTAGAGATAGCGAACGAAAAGGAAAAAGGCAGAACTCGAAGCACGTATTCGGCGAAAATATAATATAGTAATTCCAATGAACTGTCATTGATCGACATACTTTTGTGCAGCTTCCATCCTGAACAATAGCACTATGATAAGACTTAAAATGTCCTGATTTTAATCGAAATTCCTGATTTTTTTCTAAAATGTGCCCTGCCTATTTTCCTGATTTTCAGACATAGGCCGCTGCGACCCCTGTTATAGTAACCAACTTATTCAAGAATTAATATGTCGTTGATGAAATTTCATGCATCCAGAGATAAATAATAACAACAGAAACAAAATTTTAATAAACATTAAATAAACTGACATGAACAAAAAAAATTCAATTAAATATCATACTAAGATTATAGATCTTCAATTGATTACAATTAAAACAATTAGAGAAAAAAAGGAGAAGGTCACAAAAAAATTGTATTTATCTAATATCATCGACGGATTTTCAAGCAATGATGATTAGTATCATAAAATGCACTCCGTTTAATGATTCGCTCAAATAGAGTCGTCACCGAAATATTGTTAACTTTACAGTTGCTATTGTCAAAGTTGTAGACAAGGTGTCATGAGAGAAAAAATAAAACAGGATCAATTTTATACCTTATGAACTTATACCAATAAGTCAAATATGGATTGATCATTATGAAAAATTCAATTTTAATAATTAAAAAACTAATGCGAAAGAGATCACATTTTATCGACTTTTTTTTGAGAATACATTATAATCTTAAACCTAATTTGTTCGGCTTTCACCAAGTTTCATCATTTGTTTGTTGACTATATTTTTTTTTGGTAAAACACATGACATGTCATTTCGACAGATATAATTTGTACAAATAATGATCTCGACAATATTTTATCATTTTTAAACAGCAACAGTTCGTAGTTCTTACCTTTAATATAATGAACAAAAAATATATTCTATTAAAATAATCTATCAATATCATATACCTATGAGATAAATGTAAATATTTTAAGAAATTTGAGTATCCCTTCGTCGAGTAGTCTTATGCTCCTAACATGTTTTCTCATTGACTATTTTACATAAATTGATCTTGATTTTCGATATCAACTTGTTTTATTTAATTATGTGTATTTAAATATTTCGACAAGAAAAATCGAACTTCTTAATGATTATTTAAAATTTTTCAATGATAGTAATTAAGTATTTCATCTATTTTTAAATGAGCAAAGATCGAAATATGTTTTGTTTTTTTGTTGAATTGTCATCAATGATTTAGAAAAAAAAACAAGATGAGTTTTTATATTGCCGTCAAACTTCGATATTTACGTTGAAACATAGATAAATAGATTTTTTCGATAAATTTCATAGTAATATTAAATGTTGACAGTAGTTTTCGTCGAAGTAAAATGTGTTTGTTGATTTATAAAATAAATAAAATGAGGTGAGAACGGAAGAGATTCGTAAATTTGTCTTATTCATATTTGAGACAGAAAGAAAAAGAAAACGTGACTGAAGGAGACTGTTGAAAGGTGGTATTTTATACATTAGTCGATTTTTTATTGCTATGCAAAAAAAATTCCATTTATTGACAAATTAAAAAAAAAATGATTAAATATCTATTATTATTAATATATATATCATGTATGTTGTTTATTTAAATATTTAAACAAAAAAATATTCTTGTTGATATAGTATATCCATCATTAGTATATGGAAGAATTTGTATAATATGTTCAAGTGAATCAAATCCAGCTTGTGCTGATCCATTTGATTCGTCGAATGCATCATTTATACAAATATCTGGTTATAATTATTGTCAAGTAAGTCATCATTATATTAGTAGGAATTTATAAATTTAAAATAAATAGAAAAATGTTTTTTCAAATGGTCTTATAACTCGATTTGGTGGTTCAACTTGTTCAACATCAGATATTCGTGGTATAACAACTGTTTATTGTTGTTCAAATTTAGACAATTGTAATTATGCCGAAAAACTCAGATCATCTTTCTTTATTAACATATCATTTATCATTAGTCTTTCCTTTTTTTAAGATAATTATTGCTCAGCGACCTACTTAAAGAAAAACAGACTTTTTTCTTTTTTTTTGTTATAATTTAGTCAACAAGAGAAAGAAAAAAAACTTCAAAGATGATTTTTGTTGCTAAGAGAGAATGACTCAACTAATAAAATATCATTCTTCTGTTTATTTAATCAAAAGGTAAAAAAAGACGGTTGCTGTCGAATAGAAAAAAAAAACAACTGAAAATCGAAATCTTATTTAAAACTAATCAATGATATGTTCTTTGCATTTCTTATTCAACATTCAAATAAATGAAACAGAAAAGAAAAATATTGAATATAAAAAATGAAAAGACTGTAAAAAAAAACCAAGGACAGATTTAATAGGTGATTGTTGAATTCGAATAATATTTTGTGCTCATTATCTAATGATATTCGCTAGATATTTGTTTCATAGTTCGATGTTTTTATTTAAAAACAACTGTCTTGACATTGATTCGTTACAGTTCCATATGATATTATATATGGTCATGTTATTTTATTCAATATGAAACTGTTAAAATTTAAACAATAGATCAATGAGGAATTTCAAGATCTAACCAATTTTTATCTTGATGTTTATTTGTCTTCAAATTTAACTTGCTTCATATATTATATATAAAATATAAATATATGATGTTTTTAAGTTTTCATAGATTATTTTGAAAACCAAAAAAAAACAAAAAAGTGAAGAAAGTTTTATCTAATGTGTTCCCTGTAACACGATGATAGATGGCTTCTGTTTGAACTGAATACTCGAATTATTTAAAATATAACTTCACTTATTGATAAAAATACTTTTAAAAATGATTTTTCTGATAGTCGATGAATAAGAGATTGATGGTGCAGACGCAAAAATATGACTTAATGAAAATGAATAGTTTCTATGCTACTTTTTAATGATTGATTATCATCTTAAATTATCTTTTATATTCTTGCAATAAGAGTATGAATTTTTTTTCTGGATTCATTCAATTTACTTCTCTAATAGAGGATAAGCAATTCTTATTTTGTTTATATATCTATATATAAATATTTGTAAAGATCGTTTTCACGATTTTTGTATTTCGTATTATTAAAGCTTGTTATATTGATCGTTCTCGTTTGAACAACTTCACTCTCAGATATTATCATTATCTCAATGATAATCAAGTAAAATCTAAATCAATTCTATCATTGGTTTAACGCCTTGAAATAGATTCGTTGTTGTATAATTAAATAAAAACTATTCAATTGTACATGTTAAATATATATTCAATGAGCTAAATAGAATTGTATAAAAAGTCGGAAATGTTTCGAGAATCCATTTTTATTTTTAGTTTAATTATAATCTAAGTGAAAATTTTGATCAATTCGGTTTTTTTTTCTGATCTATTGTAAGAGTTTTAAGAAAAACAAAGGTGATATTCGTTATTCTAATAGCATCAAGTCTATATTAATAAATGTATTTTGGTCAAATATAAGATAAAACATTTCGAAGTAACCATAAGAGACTAAAAATGTTTAGCAATCTTGATGAAAAGTTGAGTTTAATAATTGAAGCTATTTTGTAGTTCATAAGTGACTTTTAATCCGAATAAAAGTATTTTTCAAAAATATTGATCTCATCGTCTATTATCCTTTTCTATATTTCTGCACAGACTTATTCTTTGTAAATCTATTCCTGTTCGAACTAATCTTGCTTTAAAGATTTTCATAAAAGAATTCAACTGTTAAAATAATCATTTAATTGAATATTATTAATAATAGATAAATGAGAAAGAACATATTAGATAATATATAAATTGATTTCGTATTATTTGTGGTAATTTGATGTCGAAAATTTGTTCCTTCTACCGATAATAGACTGTTGGTTGAAGAATAACAGACAAGGTCGAGAGATAATCCATGAAACTCTCATCGATTACTCGATATCATACGAACAAATTAATTTAATTAAATAATGATAGTAGAATATTCAATTTCGTTATTTTATCTTTGTCAAAAATTAATTTAACAAATGTAAAGAAAAAAAAGTAAAGTTTTATTTCAAATTAAATAAGATCTTACTTTATTTATTTGAAGAAATTTTCTTCAAGTCTGACATAAAATTCATTTCTCTATTTCTATGTTTTTCGTATTGACGATTCTGTAAGATGATTCTACCACAAGACTTCGGATACCTTTATATTTTCGATAAATTAAATTTTTTTTTTATAAAATGTTCGTCTATGATTCGCAAGAGAAAAATGATTTAATAGAACTGCTATTAGAAATATTTTTTTCATAATGAAATCAATCGATTCTTCCAAAAACGAGAGATTTTCTATAATTTACTTATTTAGTTTTTTTGTTTAAATATCTATGGATGTTTGTTTTTTAATGAAAGTTGTTAATGATTAGATAAATCTATTAAATTTTTAATAATAAATATATCGTTGAATAATTAGTTTAAGTCGGTTGTTTAAAATGTTTATTTAAATAATTAACTTTTAATTAATATGAAAAAAGAAAAGAAAAATATTCATGCTATATGAAATGAAATGAAATTTTTTAAAAATTTAATAAGAAAAAAAAGGTTTGTCAGAAATCTAACTTTATTTTAATTCAATTTTCGATATTATTTTTCTTCACAAGTATCATACATCAAATTTCAATTTATCATTCATTTTAAAATATGATTAAACAAAGAAGACATTTTATATTATAATAAATAATTTATAAATTTAATATCATTGACAATGATGAATGTTAAGATATTTTGAAGTTCGTATTGCTATTTGATTATCATACCAATAAATGATATTAAACAGTTTTGTTGGATAAGAATTAATATTATCAATTGTTCCATTATTATTTATTTTAATAAATCTATTAAAATAAGCATCTACAACAATCCAAGAACGATTAGTATAAGGTGAACATCTATAAGACCATCCTTGACCAATATCAATTGAAAAAATAGTTTGAAAACTTTTAATTGAACGAATTTCAAGACGAGTTTGATTTGTAATATCATTCTGAATAATTAATCCAAGATCAATATCTTGGGATTTAATATCATTTATTATCTCATTATCTTGACAAATAATTGATGTTTGCCATCGTTTATTTAATTGTATTGTTGGTAATAAATCATATTCAAGAATAAAAGGATAATCACCAAATGTTGAAATAAATAATGATGTATCTGAACATGTACCACGTTCCCATTTATAATTGTTTATTAAATTAATTGGAGACAATTCTAATGATTTTAGTTTATCATCAATCGTATAGATATTTGTTGATGTTATTAAAATAAATCGAGAAAGAATTTTTGACCAACATATATCTTTTATAGAAATATTCAAATTAGATTTTTTATTAGAAATTTTTAAAGATTTATCAATTAAATATAAGTTTGATTTTTCACATAATATTATATGTGTTTCATTTCGAGATAATGAATACCAATAATCACATTGAAATTTTACTTTTTCTTTTGGAGATTTTAAATCAAATAAACAATTATTTTCTGATTGATTTAATTCGAAATTCGATGTTGACATTGATAATGAATTATATGTTAATTCATTTGATGATAATGAACTAGAAAAAAGATCTTTTAATGGAGATAGATCATCTTTTAACTTATATTTAATTGATCGAATATCAATTAATGATTCATCGAGTTTTAATCGAGAAAATTTTGGTTGAATTTGTTCAAGTTGATTAAGTTGTTCATTTATTGATTGAATTGTATATTTAACCCATTCAATATAATCTTCGGATGCATCTTGATCACAACTTAATGAAGATATTCTTTCTTGAGATTGTTCTATTTCTTCTTTTATTATTAATATATATTCATCATGTTTTAATTTGCAAAATTTATCAATCAATTCATGAGCTTCATTACGCCATTCTTCTAAATTTTTTACAAATTTTGGTTCATCTATTATTATTTTGTTAAGACGATCCGAAACTTGATGAATATCATTGGCTATGCATAATGATTCAAGTTGACATTGTTCAACATGTTCTTTTAAATGATCATTAGAAAGAATATCTTGACAATAGTTCGATGTATCTATTGATTCTCTTTGACATTTATCAACAATAAATGTATTATTTGACAATTCCATCTTATATTTCTACGAAGACAAAAAACAAAACTCAATTCAATGTCTCTTCAAATTAATTGTTTGAAGAAAAAAGTAAAATATTTTTTTTCTTATTTGAATACAAATTCAAATAAGAAACAATCTTTCTCTTTCTTCTTCGACTATTCGAAACCTTGAAAAATGTCGAAAAGAATAATGTAACAAGTTTTTTTTTTTTATTGATCAACGTTACAGTCCTGGATCACAAGAACAAAAAAAAAAGGAAATAAAATAAACTCGATAGAAATGAAATGAAACCATTTATATATTTATTTGTCTTATTTATATAATTTTTAATCCTAATGTCGCATTTTCATTAGCCCGTTATTATCGAACTTTAAAAATATGATTCTCTTATCGACTATCTTAGTTATTCTATCCTCTAAATCATATTTTTACTTAAAAGAACAAAGAAAGAAAAGAAAATGTCAAAATTAGTTTTGAAATGAAAACTCTTATTCATAGAATATTCTTGTTTAGTTTTATGCTTTGAAAGTATTTTATTAAATGAAGTCGAAGAAAAAGTTTAGTTTTCAAATATATAAATAGAATTTTAGATTATAGTTTTGTTAGTCTCTTAAATAGAGAAGAATTTCGATAGAAGAAAATATATTATATCGAAAAATAAATAATTTTATTTAAATTTTATTAAATTATTCATTGATGATTTGTCTGAAAAATCTTTTCTTAATTGCAGATATTTTTCCTATCTTAGTAAACGTGTCAATCTCAAGATACCTCTTCTATTCGATCACTAATCAGCATAGCCAATAGAAATGGTGAACAAATTTCGAATCCATATACCTATTCATTATCTCTACCATTCTATAAGAAGTTTTTTGATAAATTAGTAGATTAAATATTTTGAAGCGTTTTATAGTGAAGTGTTACTAATTGATAATGTGAGTTAAGATATTGCAATAAGTAATGTTTTGTGTGACACTGTATTAGCAGCAAACTTTTCTAAATTGAATAGAATCATTATGACGCAACATTATATATACAGAGGAAAAATGCATATTAAAATGATAATTATCGTATTATATTTAACTAATAGGTCTCTTGGAAAAGAGTTTGAACAATAAATAGTTTAATTCAAAATTTAATTTGACCTTCATAATATGAAAATAAACTTATTTCTTCTGAGTACTAAGAAGTGAAATGTTTCTTCTTCGAATTAATGTTGTTTAGTAGAAGATTTGATTTTTTTTTATTTAAAAAAAAAATCGATATGTCAGTATTTCTCTCAGATGTAAATAAAACTATTAGGTTTTCATTGACAACTTCAAACAATCGGTTATATGAGTGAATTGTAATAAGGGATGGATGTCATTTTTTTTTTCTTATTAAGGACACCGAATACATTCTTTTTTCCCAAAATTTAACAATGAAACGAAAATATTTTTCATCAAGTAATCTTTAGGCAAAATTTTTGATGATGTTCTTTAATAGATTTTTACCTCAGACATTCTGATGCCGTCTTGTTCTATTTATTATGTATTTCTAAAAATAAATTAGTCTAACAACTATAGGTTTGGATTTAATTTGATTATCATATGAATATGTTTTATGTATTATAAGAATATTTCTGTGAATAAAACAATATAAAAACGAAACGAAATAAATACTATTTATAGAAAAAAAACATTCTTAAATAAAATCTATCAATTATTGGTAAAATGATCATTATTTTTTAAATTTATACAAGAATAAAATAATCGACGTTGAAATATAAAAAAAAAAAGAAAATGTTTTCTTTGATGAATAATGTTGATTGATTGATTTATTGAATAATTATTGATCATCTGTATATCTTGTATTACGATAAAATGGATATTCATGAGCTTTTTTTGTTATATCATCATGTTGACTATTTTTAGTAAATGAATTCAAACTTGAAAATCCAATATGAACCTGATTAGAAGGTGTCATTAAACTGTTCGAAGTATTTGTAGATGATTCTAATGAGAAAGAACAATCAGAATTAATTAATTGATTTGAATTATTTCTCTTGCGATTATTTATTTTATCATTAATTGTCGAGTCTTTTAAATGATTTGGTGAAGATGTTGTTGATACATATGGATTTTGTTGATGTTTTTGTTCTATAGATTGATTATAATCGATTGATGTCATTGTTGGTGATATATGTTCATCTTTGGAATGTTTCAATATAATTTGACTTCCTTCAAAATGAATCCATTCTCCCATAGAGATGATCAAATCACGAGCATAAAGTTTTTCTAACCAATCTTTTGGAATTCGTTTATATCCATAGTAGGCTCCAGCTAATTGACAATAAATAGCAGCTGTTGTATCTGTATCATCACCAAGATTAACAGCAGCAAGAGCACCTTTTTCAAATGAATCATTATCAGACCAAAAAGCCCACAAAGCAGCTTCAATAGCATTAACAATATAACCTTTTCCTCTAATACCTTGTTCATATCCACCTTTTTTATATGAACCTCGACTTATTTGTAAAATATCATCATGTAAAGATATATCACCAAACCATGATCGATGTTTTGAATAAAAATCATTATCAAGTATTTCTTGTTTGGTATATTGAATAAGAGCAGCTATAATAAGTGCTGCATAATAACGACATGCATCAATTGCTTTTTTATTTGCATGAGTAAGATAAGCACTACGAGCAGCATATTCAATTGCTTTTTCAGGTGTTCGATAATAATATAATGGTACAGGAGCAAGACGCATAAGTGCTCCATTTCCAGCTGAATCTTTATCACCACAATCTAAATTAAAATGTTTAATACGTTCAACAGAATCTAATGCTAATCTATCAACTTCATATTCATTTCGACAACGATAATATATTTTAAGAATTTTTTGTCGATCAGAAAATTCATTTATAGATTGACGAGTTGCTTGTCCAATATCAAAACAATGTCCTGTTGATGAAAAATATCCATATTTATGCCACCATTTATAACGAACCATTTGATCATAAGGATTAAAACAATATTGACTTATTAATGATGAAGCAAGACATAAAGCCATTGATGTATCATCTGTCCATTTACCTGCTTCAAGACCCCATGTACCTCCACCTTCCATTTTACGAACTGGATTAGCAGCAAGATATTGTTGAGGACGAAATTCTACACTAGCTCCAAGAGCATCACCTATAGCAAGACCTACAAGAGAACCAAGTACTCGATCATAACTATCATCTTTTTCATGATATTCAGGTGTTTTATCCAGTTTAATATTATGTGGAAGCACTTTTTCATATGGTGATGGAAATTCTGGCATTATAAATGTCTATAACAATAAATATTATCTAGAAAATGAAATATTTATATTTAGAATAAGAAAATTTCGGTAATATTAAATATATATATATAGAATTACAAAGATTAATTAAGGAATAAAACAAATTCTATTAATATTTGATATTTATTATATGAATTAACTTCAATAAATTGATTTCTTTTTCAATCTTTTATTTTTTTGATAAAATTCATGTCAAATAAAAATAAATTTATTTCTTTTATTAAATAAGAAGTTAAATAAAAATAATTTATAGATAATATCAATTTATCATTTATCAATGTTAAATAGAAATGTTCTATAAGATAAAAGATCATTAGAAATAATAGTATTAGTTTTTTTTTCTTTTATTAATTTTGGCACAATACAAAAACAATACTACGAAAATCTTTTTAAATATAATGTCTATTTATACCTCTTTATTTATTAGTAGTAGATTTGCGCATCTTCAATTCCCATTGTTCTCCTTCATATGCAATCCATTTAGCTAATGTTTTTAAAAATTTGTGGGCATAGACATGCTGAAGCCATCGTTCAGGTAAATTTTTATATCCGTAATAAGCTCCAGCTAGCTGACCGTAAATAGCAGCTGTTGTGTCTGTATCATCACCAAGATTAACAGCAGCAAGAGCACCTTTTTCAAATGAACCATCATCAGACCAAAACGCCCATAAAGCAGCTTCAAGAGCCTTGACAATATAACCTTTGCCTCGAATACCTTTTTTATAGCCACCTTTCTTTTTGAATGATCCTTCAGCAATTTGTTGTATATCTTCATGTAATGGTTCATTAGCAAACCAATGTTTATGTTTAGAATAAAAGTTTTTAGCCAATATTTGTTCTTTTTTATATCCACGAAGAGCAGCAACAATTAATGCACCATAGAATCGGCAAGCATCATAAGATTTCTTGTCACCATGTGTAATCTCGCCACTTCGACCCGAAAATTCAATAGCAGCATATTTATTTCGAAAGAAAAAGAGAGGTACTGGTGCTAAACGCATTAAAGCCCCATTTCCAGCAACTTCCGGTTCGCTACAATATACATCGAATTCATTAAGACGAATTTCATCTGATAGTTGATCCATTTTTTTAAGTGGAAGAGAGTGTTTTTTTGCAAAAAGCTTTTGACGATGTTCAAATTCACGTAATGATTGACTTGTAGCTGCACCTATATCAAAACATTGTCCAGTTGATGACATATATCCAAATCTGTACCACCATTTATAACGAACTAATTGATCATATGGAATAAAATCACGACGAGCCAATAATGAATTAGCTAAGCAAAGAGCCATTGACGTATCATCAGTGAACTAAGAAAAATGTATTGAATAAAATTTTTATTTTTTCTAGAGACAAAAACAAATCATTCTAAACTAATATGTATTTCAAAAAAGAAACAATCTCAAGATTTTTTGAATAAATAGAGTTTCAATTCTCGTCAATACGCTAGAATCATCAACCGAACATATATAAACTACTTAGCCAATCATCAGTTATACATATTGAATTCTATGTTATTGACAGATTTTTTATAAAAATTTGACTTTTTTCTCAAGTTTTTGATGAAAAACTCAACTTTTAAATCTAGTCAAAAGTCTAGTTTTCATTGAAGAAATGAGTTAAAAACTCTGAGAAAATTCTGGTATGTACGATTCTATAGTAGTTTTATCTATTCTTTCATACAGTGAAAATCATAACTATCTATCCAGTTTCTATACAAAATTTATTCAAAAAAAAAAAAAAAAACTAGTGACACTTTCTTTTTTGAAATGAATATAAGTATATTGATAAAAAAAACTGATATGAAACAATACTTCATATAATATGTATAAATTATTGTCAGATACCATCGAAGACCAAAGATTAAGTTATCAATATAATTAAATCACTAAAGATCAGTAATTAACTTCTTTTGTAGTCTCTTAAGATATTATGTTTGAATATTGATTGATATCAATAAACATCAAACAATTGTGAACAAATTAATTAAAGACACTTTCTCTCAAATTATTTTTACAATAACATATTGATTAAATTGTGACAAACATCGGTCTTTGTAACTAATATAGAGTTGAAGAATATCATATTATAGAGTGAAACAATTCAAAATAAAATTAGTCTTCTATCAAGGTTTACAACTAGAAATTATTGTAGAAAAACATTTCTTTTAAATAATAATCAAATCGTTTTATAAGCAGTTAAAAGAAAATTTTTCTGTTGAACATAAATTAAATCGAAAAAATAATTATTTGTTTGTTTAAAAAATTTCAATAAATGAATATATTTATAAATTAATATAAAATGAAAATACCTGTCCTTTTTGAAGACCCCACGTCCCTCCTCCTTCAAGATCTTTTACTGGATTAGCTTTCATATATGAATATGGTCGAAATTCTACATGTGCGCCCAAAGCATCGCCTAATGCCATTCCAATAATTGATCCTTGAATACGATCCAATAGATCTTGATCAATATTACCAGATGGATCTTCCATTTCATTTTCAAGATCGTTTGGCTTTTTTATTGGATGACTTTCAACTTCTTCACCTTTATTACTCGTATCACTATTATACCATTGAAGATTGAGCCAATTTTTGTCTAGAAAATAAATTATTCTTTTATTTAAAACTGAAAAAGTCTATTCGACTTTTAAATATTTCAAATATATTCTATTTATTGAATAATCACTATTATTTAAATTTATTTATTGATAACTATTTTTATGATTATTATATTAATAAACTTTTAAAATCTATTTATTAATTAACAAGTTCTGAATGACATAGGAGAAAAAAATTTTGATTTATATATCTATTTGATTAAAATAATCATAAGACTAGAGAAAGATGAGGATTAATCTTGTTTTTTTTTTGTTTTTATATATAGAAATTCGAATAGAATAAATGATAGAATTTTGTTTTTCTTATTTAACTGCTGAACAAGTTTGTCAGTTAAAAGTTAATTATTTTTATTAAAAATAATATTCTAAATCATATTTTCTTTTTTAAAATATATTATTTTAAATGTTTACATAATTATATTATTTATTATATAAATGTTGAGTTTTTCTAATATAAAAATGACGTCAAAAAGATGAATATTTATTTATTTAAAAAAAAAATAAATAAGATTTATTTAAACGAAAAAGTTTTTTTTTAAGGTATAATCAAAAAAAAGTTCTTATATTGATAATGAAAAATGTATTTTAAAACTCAACTTGACTGACCTGCACAAAATAGACAGGATGGATGATCATCGTTTGAATCATCATTTTGTGATATTTCGGACTTTTTATCATCAATGTCATTTTCTTTCGATGTCAATTTGTCCGTTTTTGGTCCATCATCTAAACAGAAATGAAATATAATAACAAAATATTAAACAAAAATAAAAAACAAACTGTTACTATGTTGTTGATTGTAGGTTTTTCGTGGATGATATATTTGATCATCTGTTGTAAGTTCAAGTGAATCTTTAGTTGATATTGATTGATTTTGTATATGTTGTGAAGACATAAGATGTTGATTTGATTTATTTTGTTCATCATGATTTGATTGATTAATATAAGAAGACGAATAATGTGAATTATGATTAAATATTGCTTGTTCCTCATTATCAGATGAATGAAATGATGATTGTTTATCATTAATTAATTGATTTTCATTATAACGAGAAGAGGCTGGAGATTTAATTCTTGTTTCATTTGAATTATCATTAACTAGAGAATTATTCAGAGATCTCGAGATTTGTTCAGCACTTTTTCTTGAAGCACTTGATAATCGAGATTTTGTTAAATCATTTTCAATATCTCTCGAACTATCATTTAAAACATGTTCAGAATCAAAAGATGAATTCATATGAGGTTTATGCTCTTCACTTTTGTTCGACATGTACAAATCGGTTTTTTTTATTTCTTTCTTTCTTATATATTAAATAAATTGATCTAAATAATAGAGATACATATTAATATATATATGATGATAGATAATAATCAATTAAATAAATATTACTTAAATCTCAAAATATCTATCTATAAATCGATAAAAAAAATAAAGTGATCTGTTTTTTTCTTAATGTTTGATACGTTGCTAAGTGTTCGTTGCCAGTAAACGACATTTGTTTTGTTTCTTTTTCTTCTTTCTTTCGTTCTTTTTTTTCTTCTTCTACCGAGACAGAAACATAGTAATAACAACAACGCATAAACATTGACTAGTTAAACGCCAAAAAAAAAGAAAGAGACTGAAGACTATAAAGAATACTATCGAATAAAACTTGAAGAGAAAGAAAAAAAAGAAAAAAACGAAGACAAACATTATTTTACCTGTCCCCGAAAACAATTTCTACCAAACACGTGAAACAACAATCCTCTATTTAAATATCGTCAAAAGAGATTTTTTTTTTTGCATATTCAATGCTTTAAGATAATAAAGATACATTAGAAAAAAAATTTCGAATTAAATTAATTTAATATTTATTATTTAATTCATTATCAGTCAGTAATTCACATTAAAATGTGTCTACTATCAATATAAATAATTAAATCTTTTGCATTTTTACTTTTAACCTAAAGGAATTTTCCTCACTTTTTTTCAAAGAATAATTCAACATAGAAAAACTTCTACAACAAAGACATTTTTACTTTTTTATTTTTTTTTGTTTGTATGTCAATTTATATTAAATGTAAAGGCATGTCTTTATTTGACCATTAAAAAAAGTAATATTTTGTAAAAGCTGTTCGACATTTAACCAAGCTAATTTGTCAAAAAGTTCGCTTTTTTTTTTATTTCGAATTTAGAAATAATAGATTAACGATTGATTATCAATATTTAATAAAAGAAAAATGATTCAATCAAAAATAATTATCAATTAAACTTATTTTAGGAAAAAAAAACAAACTTATATGAAAAAAATGGTGCTACATCACAAATCATGTATTTCCTCGAAATTTATTTAACTCATTAGAAAAAATAGTTTCAATTCCAATATTCAGTTAAACCTTTTTTTTTTTCTATGCTTAATATTATTTATACATCCAGTATTTCTTTATCAGATAAATTTAGATTAAATCAATCCTGTCTTCGTTAAGATGATTATTTTTTTTTTAGTCTTTTCTTTCTTATCAAACTTGTTTTTTGAGAAATATTCATATTCACTTATTAATTATAAAAAAACACTCACATTTCTATTGCACATTTCCTTATTAGTTAAACATTTGATTTATTAAGAAAACCTATCAAGAAGACTTTCTCAAGGAGATTTTACAAAAAAAAAGAAAAACTCAATGTTAACAAACACCTTTTTTTTATTCTGGTGTAAAATCATCAATTTTATTTTTTTCTATTATGTAACACAAACAGTTTGAAACAAATTATTATTGATATGATAACAATATGTGAATACTAGAAGACATCTATATTGAAAGACACAAATATTTCTGTCTTATTTCAAAGTATAATTTAAAAAGGAAAATAAAATATGAAGATTATTATTATTAGATATTTGAAATTGTTCTATTAGAACTAAAGAAGATTTTAACAATAAAAAAATAAACAACTGATAAATATTTAACAATAATTAACAATATAAAAGTTGATTTTTAATTCAAATCTATTTCGTATTTCTAATTATGATAAACAACAATATTGGCTAAGATGTATTTTATAATAAAATATATTCAATAGATATATAATCTGAATCACTGCAAGGCAACATGAAAATAATAAAATCGGTAAGAGAGAGTGTAATATAAATTTCTATTGAATATATTTTATTATAAAATACATCTTAGCCAATATTGTTGTTTATAATCATTAGAAATCTGAAATAGATTTGAATTAAAAATCAACTTTTATATTGTTAATTATTGTCAAATATTTATCAGTTGTTTATTTTTTTATTGTTAAACTTTTCTTTAGTTCTAATAGAACAATTTCAAATATCTAATAATAATAATAATCTTCATATTTTATTTTCCTTTTTAAATTATACTTTGAAATAAGACAGAAATATTTGTGTCTTTCAATATAGATGTCTTCTAGTATTCACATATTGTTATCATATTAATAATAATTTGTTTTAAACTATTTGTGTTACATAATAGAAAAAAAATAAAATTTATGATTTTATTCAGAATTTAAAATTAATTGTTAACATTGATTTTTCTTGTTTTTTGAAAAATATCTTTGATGATCAAAGTAATATTATTGATTGTTCTATCATTTGAGTTTCATTTCACCTTGAAAAAAATTAAAATTAAAGTTAAAACTGATGAATTTTATTTATTTGAAAATGAGAAATGTTAATATACAAGTAAAATACAGTCAAAGAATAGAAAAATAAATCTATGAATTAGTTTAAATGAAAAAGTTTTGTTATTTATTGAGATAAATATTGTCTTTAAAGAGGTGTTTATAATCGATTTTGTGTTATTGTTGTTGTATGAACAAGACGGTTTTTCTTTGGCCATATTTCTGGTAAACAAGCAATTGAGACAAATGGTATTAAAAGTTGAACAAGATATGGTGTATAATATAAATAATAATAAGTTATACCATCAATAAATGTTGGAATAAAATAAATACGTATAAGTGATACTAATGCCAATGGTGTCCAAAATAGTAAATAAAGTATTGAAATAAACATTAATTGTAATGTTAATTTTCTTGTTGATCTCCAATTTAATGTTCGTTTCATTTTTTTTGCTTGAATTAAAACTCGAAATAATAAAGCAATACTTGCAATTGGTATTAATAATGATGGTAATAATATATGTGTAATCCAATCATAAGTTGATAACCAAGTAACACTATTATAACAAATTGGACCACAAAGAAATGAAGTATAATCAAAAAAATTTTCACATTGATATATAATAATACATGAAAAATAAAATATTGGAATATATATAATACAAATAATTAATGGAATATAATTCCATTTTATTTTTCCAATATTTGTTTGTGTCCAATTTGAATGAAATATTAATATATGTCGTTGAAAAGAAGTCCATGTCATTAAAAATAAATTTGTTGATTGAAGTGAAAAATTATACCATATCCAAAATAAACAAAAACTATTTACATTTGGTTTAACATAACCAACACGAAGAAATTGAAGTGTTATTGGTAATTCTGATGTTGTATTTAAAAATGAAACAATAATTAATAATATTATTGAATGATTATTTATATGAGAACGAAATACACGATTATTTATAAATTTAAATATAATATAAATTGATATCAAGATTGATGGAACTTCTAATGAACCAAATAAATATAATTTAATATAACGATAAAGTTCAGGTTCAGATGATTGAGATGAACCATTATCTGTTTCATTCATTTTATTAAATAGTATAGGATTTTTTTTGTTTTTCTTTTCTTCAAATATAATCGATTTTATAATATTCGACTTGTTTTATTTCAACTAACTTTGCTTATTTAAAAATTCTCTATGTGAATAATGTCTTTTTTTTTCTTTTTATTATCAAAATAAATAACACCATTAGTTTCTAATTGACATCTAGATTATAACTTGTTACTATTTTCATAAGCAAAATAAATTTTTTTTTTTTTTTGCTGCATGAAAGATTTTACTATTCAAAGTCTATTTATTCCAGTTGAGCATATTTTCTTCCGCTATCATTATTATATGGTGTGGAAAAAAAAAATCTTTTTAACAATAATTACACATATTCAACATCTATTCAATATTAAACTACATTTAATATATATTGAATAAGAAACAAAAAAAAAAACGAAACCTTTAACTTATTGAATATCTCTAATATTCTATATAAAATATTCGGAGAATACATCGTTTATTATATTATTATATAGTTGACATAAGTCATATATAAATTAGTTCTTATTTGTTTGAATAAATTGTTTTAACGATAGATAATCCATAAACATTGAAATGAATATGAGTTTTTCCATCGACAATGATCTAAATATTAAAAATAATTTAATAATAATTTTCAAAGTAGTATATTGTTCTTCATTGAGAAAAATTTACTATTTGTTGACTATTAATTGAATGAGAATTTAAATCGATCAATGATAAATCTAATGTTATCATTAATATTAATAAAAAAGAAGAGACTTTTTCTCACGAAAAATCTAATCTAGATAAAATAAAATAGATTAAACAATAAAATTAATTCAATAGAAATCTTTTTAATAAAATCATATGATCAAAGTAAAAAATGTTTTAGATATAGAAAACTTGTTTTATTTTTATTTTTCGTATTAGTTTACAATTGTAATATGTCAGAATTTTATTCTTTGATCAAATAATATGATTAATTTATCCTATAGAAAAAAATAACTTCTGTATTCTTTTTAATTGACATACTATTTTTCATATTTATTTACGGTCGAATACATTTAAATGTTACGCATAGTTACATTTTTATTAATGAATTATTTCTATCAGACTTATTATTAACGTTCAATTAATATTGAAAAGAATTTTTTTTTTTTTTATTTACACAATACCAATAATCAGTTAATTATCTATTTGTTTGTAAATTTATAGAAAATCATCATTAGCCTAGAAATAATTTGCGACTTTTTTTTTTCTAAAACGTAACATTCTCGGCGTGATATTATAGTTGGATATATAGTAAAATAGAAAGTGCAATGATAATTGTTATCTTATATTCTGATTAGTTTCTATTTAAAGAAAAAACTTTGATGAAAGCCGAAAATTGCCGTTTCATATTGTGATGAAAGATCATTCTTATTTGTAGTATAGACTATCTCAGGTTTAATTAAATGAAATTTAATCCGAATGTCAAAAAGAAAAATCTAATATAAACAACATTGGTTTTTGTTAATTTTTCTAAATATTCATTCATAATATCACACTGAGAACGTTACGTTTTAGAAAAAAAAGCTTGAAATTATTTCTAGGCTAATGCCAATCTTCTATCGATTTGTAATGATTTCAATAAATAAAGAAAGATTCCAAAGATCAAGTATTTCATTGATATTAGATTTTTTAATAATAAATAATAATTTGAAAAAGAAAGTGATAAAATGAATTTTTTTTTGTAAAAAATAAAAGTTAAATTGATTAGAAAAAAAAAGTTTAAAAATTATTTTTGTTAAGAATATTATTTTGAGAAAATCTTAAAAAAGAATAATTGAAAATTATTTTAACAAATAGAAATCTCTAAGTCGATTGTTCTTCGAATAATAAATAGTATTTATTATATATATGTTGCTTGTTTCAAACTAATCAATTACAAAAACAAAAAAGCACGAATATAATAATAAATAAATTTCAATTTATCATTGAATAAAAGAATTAATCGATATGTCAATAAGATTTTGATGAGTCTTATTAACTCTCGTATAGATAAACCTTCATAAATCAGGCTAACAAGACCTCTCTTTAACCATTGAATTTATATTAATGAAATTCTTCTTGACAAATAATTAGAAAAATAAAATATTTCTGTTTTTAAAAAGTATATCGATTCTTTGTTCTTTAATGTATATTCAGATTGAATCTGACAAATATGATCAATTTATTTGACAAATTATTGATTCACCAACTCAATTTTGATTACATTGGGACATTGATCTTGTTATTCAATAATACTCAGTTGATCAATTTATTTAATCCTTTAGCTACGGGAGTATCATATATGATACCTGATTGTTGGCAGTAATATAGGTCCAGCTAACTATAGAAAGTCTATTCTTTCGCTTTTTATTTTTGTTGTTGTGGATTTCTTATTCTATATTTGTCCTTTCCCCTCGTTGTGATACACATATAGAGAGACTAAATATAGGTTTTAACATCAGAAGCATTTTTCGTAAAATTATATCTCGAAAATTAAACCCATAGCCAAAGGGTTAATAGACAAGTCAAACAATAGATGAAATAACATAAGAAAAAAGCAAAAGTATTGGTTGTTTATCTGACAATAATATGATAATCGTATCCATATAAGATGGTCAACAATGATCTCTGACATAAACAAGAAAAAAACAAGATGATAGGAACTAGTTGATCTTTTATATTCTATTGGTAAGTAGGAGATATGAATGAGTCATAGATATGTTGCGGGCAAAGAATATTCATACATACATACATACATATATATATATTTCCTTCATTTTCTCTGCTTCTATAGGATAAAGTACAGTATGTGTGTTTGCATAAGAATAAACAAAAAGATGATGGATATTCTTAGACGAAAATAGCATAGTTCTTATTTGTTTTATATGTATATATAATATAATGGGAACAGAATTGATCAATGATTCAGTTCAACAATGGATCAGTGCATTAACTGGTGCTGCAATTGTTGGTCTTATTGGTGTTTTACCTCTTTTTATTGTTCCTAATGAACAAAACAAAAGTAAATATAATATTGAATTTAATAATAAATAAATCTAAAAAATTAATTATTAAATAGAAGATAAACCTTATTTGGAAATCTTATTAAGTGTAGCTGTTGGAAGTCAATTAGCTGATGTTTTTTTGCATTTATTACCAGAAGCATTTTCTCATCCACATGCATCATCAACATATATTGGTCTTTGGACACTTATTGGTCTTTTTATTTTTTTTATTATTGAACAAATTTTTTCTCAAGATAATTATCAAGATTTTTATTCTCAATCTCAACAATTAACACAAAAAAAAATCAAAGTATCTTTGAATTTTATATCAAAAATAAAAAATAATAAAATCTTCTTTTTTTTTTTTTTTTGTTTTTTCTAGACAACTGGTTATTTAAATTTATTAGCAAATTTTATAGATAATGTAACACATGGTGCAGCTATTGGTGGAAGTTTTGCTGTTAGTCCTTTAATAGGTTTGACAACACTTGCTGGAATAATAATTCATGAAATTCCTCATGAAATTGGAGATTTTGCTATTCTTTTACAATCTGGTTTTGATCGTCGGCAAGCAACTAAAGCTCAATTTATCACTGGTCTAGGAGGACTTATTGGAGCTTCTATTGCTCTTTTTTATTCACATTTACTTCATAGTATTTTGTTTTGTTTTTTTTATTAAAAATTTTCTATTAAAATTTGATTATTTTTGTTTAGATACTTTATGGGTATTACCTTTTACTAGTGGCGCTTTTCTTTATGTAGCTTTGGTTAAAACAGTACCTGATTTGTTAAAAGAAAATGATTTAATGTATGATAGTAATGGTTAAATTATTTTTTTTCTATAATAATTATTCTTTTTTTTAGGCATTCTTTTAGACAATTAATCGGCCTATGTGGAGGTCTTTTTATTATTTATCTTATTGTTCTTTGTGTTGGATAAATTTTTATTTTTAATTCTTTCGTCTTTTTATATCTTTTTTTAATAGAATAAATGAATAAATCTATAGTCTTAGAATTCATATTTATATCATGAAAAATGTCTTATTTTGTCTTTCATTGTTTTATCATCATTCATTTGTTCCTTTCATCAATTATTTGTTTAACAAACCAAATTTTTCAACTTAAAAATAATAGAAAGAGAAGAGAGATAAGATTATAATGACATATTTGTTTATCTTTACGCAATAAAGAAAAAAAAGGATAAAAGTTAAAAAGTATTAATTATTCTTATTTATTTTTTAGCAAAAAAACACATTAGTTTTTCTTCATTGGATTATATATTATTTGTATATCAACAATAATTTATCTATTCTTATGTAAATATAATAAAAATCTTTAAAGAAAATTTTCTATTAAATATTCGTTGTAGAAATAGTTAACATTAAAATTAAAAGACGAAATTTAATTTTTCAAATATAACTTCTCTTCTGAAAGATTTTCTAGAGATGAAATTTATTAAAATCGTATTGATTTCTGAAAAACCAAACTATCTTCGAAAAGAGAAAACAAATGAAATAAGATAGAGATTGAACAATATGTAGATGAAAGGATGATTCTATCATATGAGTACATAACATTAGATTAACAACAAAACTGATAGAAACTATTTTAATATGAATATATGTTTCTGTAAAAATAAATCGAATATTACTTTCGACGTCGACAATAAAGAAACATAATGTTTTAAATAATATTGGTTTTGTTAAAGATCAATTAACCAGATTGAAAATTTCTAGTTGTTTATATTATTAATTATTCAATTTATTAAGCTCTTTTATAAAAAAAAGTTTCATAAAGAGAGAAATTTTTCTTTGTCTCTTTATAGAATATATTCAAGAGAATTATCATCGTACGTTATAATAGAGTTTCATTGTTTAAATTATCAAGTTAAATATATATTTCTAATTTGTTAATAGATCTTTAATTGAATAGATTAAATAAAACATTTTCTATCATGCTTGTTAATTATGTTTAACAAATAAAAATAAAGATTTTATTTCGTTTTATTTTCTTACTGTTATTCAAAAATAAAATAAATTTTCCTTTTTAAAAATTTGACATTAAATTATTTTAAATGATTTTAATTCTATTCAATTTCGACTAGTTTTTATTAATAAAATTTTCTCAATGACTTAAGTCAAATTTTTATTATAAATAATCTTCAAAAGATTCAAAGAAGTATTGTTGTTATTCATAGTTACGCTTTTCTATTTATTTCAACAATAAAAAGGTAAAATATTTTTAAGAGGAGATAATCGACTTTTGTATTTGTATAGATAATAATTCATGCACATATCAAAGAGAGATAGTCACTAATCATAAAATTTGACCAAAGATAATAAGACTCGGCAAATTCGAATCTGAAATCAGTTTTTTCAAAATTCGCTAGTTGATTTTTCAGTAAGGAAATGTTTTTTAGAGTGAAAAATCAACAAATTATATGTGTTGGTATTTGTCACACGTGCAACTTAGTTTTCTTGACTTCAAGAAGGATCACGCGAAACAAAGCAAGTTTACGTGCTGGGCTTTATTGCTTCAGGGTATCAGTTGCGTCTGTACAATCCTATTTGATAGGCATCGACGAAAGACATTCTTTCTATTGATAGTGTCTGAAAAACCTTTCTATATTCAATTTTCCTTGAAGAAATTTGTGTTATAAATTGATGAATTTCTTAAATAAGGTACAAATATATCGTTTTCATTGTGAATAAAATTGTATCATCCTTTGTAGAAGTAGATTCGAGACGGTAGACGGCTAGTCGTAAGTAGCTCTGTGAAGGAGTATTAACGAACAACTTGTCACTGACCTGAAACGTTGATGGAAAGAAAACTTCACATTACTGCAACACATTGTTTAAATAATATCCTTAAACGGTAGAAAAGCGAAAAATTATTTTCGCTGATCAAGTCTTGGAACCAATTTTTTTGTAAAAGTATAACATGTTCAACGTGCATTTGACAAAAAGCATATTTCTATTAAACTTTTGACTGTGCACATAAACGAGCACATTTTTCATTGATTAAGAACCATAGTGAAACTCTGAAAATATCGAATTTAGAATAGCTAAATGTAAACAGGCAATATCAAATCGCTTATAAGCTCATTATGAAGACAAAAACTATACAAAACAAGAGTTCATCGTTTAAATTTTTCTCCTTTTCTTAAAATAAAATTATTGAACTTCTTGTCGGTGATTAAGGTTAGCGCCAGAACTACAATAGTATATCAAACAACTACTCATTATTTGCAATAAAAATTGAAAAATACATAAGAACATAGCACTGTTATGAAGAATTAAATCCCGATCTTTTATGAACAAAATGATAGCTTCAATAATTCTCATTTACTAGTGATATATTTTTTGAGACTTCAATGAAATGTGATACTTTAGTTAGCCATTCACAATCTGCTATTTAGTCTTCTCTTGAACGACGGTTGCTAGCTTCAACGTTAGTTTTAAAAAAATACATAAGACATGCATGTTTTCTGAAGAAAAATGAGTTAAAGAAAACATTTTCAAAGTAGTCAATCAATGAACTCTACTAGTCTGCAAACGTATATAGATTTACTCCAACAAGCTTCTTTTGACTCTATGGTCAGTGATGAATATTAGAAAATGCCTAGCAGTGTCATATATTCTAGAATTTGAAGATGCAATCAATTCTTTCATGATAGATGTGACATCATCGGCGATACATACGAGTGCATCTTCAAATTTCAGAATATATGACATCACTCCAAAAATCCAATTCGATTCCATTTTGAACGACATTGTTAGACTTGAGATAAATGATAAGATCTCGGAATCAAGAACATTATAGATAAAAGCGAAAGTTTTAGAGAAAGAATCGTCGGACTCCTTCTTGACGAGATTGAAGTGTGGATGTATTTCAATATTGACGATCAAGTAGAAACTATTTGCTAAAGCTCATTTTAGAGAATATCAACAGAAAATAGAAACGTCGGGTCTTTTTTTTTATAAAATAACAATCATTGACAATATTATTGACAAACTTTTGCTTGTACAAATCACCTGGCATATTTCCCTTTGAAAATTCAGCATGACACATTGACATTAGTTTACATTTTTCTCATCAACCAAAAGGGTGTGGGTGTGGGTGTGGGTGGGTGTGTATGGAGTGAGGATGTCGTTGAAGAGTACAGCCATACCCATACCCACACCCACACTAACATCCCATACCCACACTAACATCCCATACCCACATTCTGCTTGACATCCATCTATACTGCTATAGATTCAAAAGCATGCTTTTACAGAAGTCGTAATAGTACATGTTCTAATCCATTAGATGTGATTTGCCTTGATGGTTCGTGTCGAGAAAATGCCAGGTGTGATGGGAATTTTGACTGTGATCAAGGAGGAGATGAGTATCAGTGTTCATCACGCGAGGGTATATTAGTTGAATGGTTATATCATACGTCTAAAAAAGCACGTATAACTGCATTACGGACAGTAACTGAATACATTTTTCCATCATCGCTTGATCAACCCGATTCGATCGGAACGTTCAAGTTACTTCTGAATTTGTCCTACAAACATGCATACAAATGTAATCGAGGTTTAGCTGTGGGTTTCGTTAGTAATCAGAATGTTGTTTGTTTCTGTCCTCCGGCTTATTACGGCGAAAATTATGAATACTTCAGTGATCGATTAACCATTGTCACTCATCTTGATCTAAAGGCATACAAAAACGACTCTAAAACATACCCCTTCTTCAAAGTACTGTCGTCGCTTCACTTTCAAAACGAAATTATTGACCATCATGAATTTATTGTTCAAACAGATCTTGAGCTTGTAAACTTTAAAAAACATCGTTTCTATTTGCTCTATTCTCGTTCGCCAGACATGTTGGTCTATAAACAGGCAAGATACAAAAATAGATCATCAATCGTCAGCGAACAGTCTTTCTCAGTGAAATATCAAATATTCGGACAAGATCAAAACTTGACAGTACTTTTGGGTGCATGGGACTATCCAATATATTTTGACTTTTACCATCGTTTCGTTTAGCTATCGTCCTGTAGTTTCCTTCTTGGTATGAGAATCATTCTTTGGAATCATGTGATCAACATCACTGCACACTGAATTCAGAGTGTCGTCGATATTTCAATGATCGAAACCGTTACTATTGTCAGTGCAAGAGTGGTTTCTACGGTCCGAGATGTGAAAAATTTGATTCAACATGTTCGTCCTATTGTTCGTCCGATTCGATCTGTATACCAGTATCATCAACTGGACATCAACCATCGACTGATTCTCGCATCTGTGTTTGTAACCATGACCGTTTCGGGCCTCGCTGTAATCTGAGACATGAACATTGTGTCTCTAATCCACGTTTGAACGATGGAACTTGCAGGTTAACTTACGATCTCATGTTACAAAGTACATACGTATGTTCGTGTGTCGACAACTTTTATGGAGAGCATTGCCAGTATGAACGTAAACTATTCATAATTGATATTAATATGACCGAAGTCTCATTTTTATCAGTGATACAATTCTTTGGCATTTTCAAGATGTCAATGCGCTAATTCATACAGAAACAAAGAGCGATGAAAATTCTACCTCACATGATAACGTATCCGATTGACAGACGTATGCCTGCTTTGGGTATTTTGACTATCTATGATAATCGAGTATTACCACGATATTTTCTTCTGTACGCACATTTTCGAGCCCAGTGCATTCGTAGTAGTGCCATACTTGAAAGTTGAATTCAAGCTTTCAAACATTTAAAACATCATGATTACTATCACGCTCAGGTCCTCACTTTCACCTCGCATCCTCACGTATTCCTATTTGTGTTATAGTGATCCGATTTAGGCTGAATGCAAGAGAGACTAGAGGATGATTTTTGCAATCTACTGAATAGTTAATGCTTTCCAAAATACTAGAACGACCTCTCCTTGAAATGAAGAGGCACAATTATATTTTACTTGGTGTGGGTGTGTGTGGGGGGTATGGATATGGGGTGTGGATGTGGGTGTGGGGTGTGGGTGTGTGTGTGGATGTGGGTGTGGGTGTGGATGTAGATATCATTAGAGAACTAATCCACACCCACACCCACACCCTTTTTTTCGACGATATTTATCTTTTATTAATTTGTTTTGTTTAATCTTTATTTGAAGTGAATATGAATACAACCGAAATTGTTCATACAAAAGATAATGATTCGAAATTGAATTAGTACAAGACAATTTTTTTCCTCAACGTTTCTTTTTTTGTCAGCACACTAAGTCAAAAAAAAAAGTGAGCTTATGATCATCTCTTATAGATATTAATTAACAATAATAAAGAGTATAAGTTATTTACTTTGATCGTCGATAATATGTGAAATATTAACTGAAAAATTATTTTGCGAATGCATAAAAAAAACAAATAGTTTATAGTTTATATATTATGACAAATATTTTAATCATAAAAAAGTGCTTATCTATATAATATTATTTTTTGTATTAATTTAGGTTAACTATTTAATCTAATTAAAAACAATCAAAATAAATGACAATATTTATTGTATTTAATTAAAAAATCTTTAAATTAAGATCAAATAGAACTTGTTTATTAATTAAGGCGCCTAATGTTGAGTTTTTCTTTGATAAAATACTTGAATATATAAATAATGAATAGAGAATCTCTATTATTAATCATAGATCGATGGAAAACTGAAGCCTATGAATTATATAATCAATTAGAAAAAACTAAAAATGATTATTATAATGATTATAATTATCTTAGCCAAAAATTAAATCAATATCAGTATGAAATAAATTCAATAAAAAATAAAAATTATTCTTCTATAAAAAAAAATGAAAATTTATTAGAACAAATTTTAATTAATGTTGATCAATCATCTATCTCAAATAAAATTATTGTTTTATCTCAGTTTTTTGTTGATTCTCTTAAAACATTATTATTATCAACAAATATTGAAGAAAAACAAAAATCAAATACTATATATTATACAATCATTGAAAATATTGAAACAAATATAAAACAAATAGGAAATATTATTTATAAAATGAATGAAGATTGTTCAAATCAATTAATTCATAATAAAAATACTTAAATTACAAATGAACAAAAATAACAACAACAAGTTTTATATCGTTTTATGTTCAATTGGACTATGTCCACAAATACATTTGTTCGAACTTCGATCAACTTGATCATATTGTTCACAACGACAATTAAGACAATAACTATAATAAGGTACAACACGACGATGAGATCGATGATGTTGATTATGATGATTATGATGATTATGATGGTGATGATGATGACGATGATGATTATCTCTTATATATATATCATCATCATCATCATAAGGTTGATCACATCCAAAAATACAACCCATATTTTACTCTTTTATATATATAAATAAATCTTGACAAAGATGATTTGTTCGAGACCACCTACTAACATTCAATTATTGACAAAAATCAAGTTTCTTTTTTCTTTCTTCAACTAAATAATTCAAATCAATAAGAAAAAAAAATATTTTTCTTCTCTCTTGCCTTAGTGATCTGAACTTATTCTTTAGACTTTCAGCACAATATTCTTTGAAATACATTTTTTAAAATAATCAATCGTTATTTATTATTGCAGTTGTTTATTTGGAAGAATATGTCAAATTTTTTAGTTAATTTTATACAGGTGACTATTTTAATACTATCCTTATTAAAAATATAAAATAATTAAAAGACAATTCATAGTATGCTCTTGTCTCTTGTCACTGCTGTTCGAATTAAGATATGAAAAATAATGTGCTTTTCATTGGAAACATATTTTTTGGTAGTTTTATTCATAATGGAAGTTTCGAAAAGCAAGATAATATAATGTACACAATAACTTTGTATAAAATTTTTAACGTTTTCCTATCTGATTTGAATAACTAACTCTGATTAACTTTTTGTTACAAAATGACAATCAATTATTCAAAATCTATACTCAGATAATTCATCATTGGAGTTTTTCTTTTATCTACATACTAGAAACAGAATGATGAATAGACTATGACGAAATGACAATAAACAGAAATGAAACGTAATGTTTTGTGTCATATTTGAATAGACATTACTTATTTTCTTTGTTTTATGATATTGTTTATGCTAATAAAAAGAATTCTTGTTCCGTTCATAGAATGAAGACTTTTATCTGATTTAATACTTGTGAAACATTTTAAGAAATAGTTGGAAAGAATGAAAATTGATTTATTTTAGGAAAATAGTCTAGTAGAAAAAGAGTAGATAATAATAATTGAATGTTCTTTCACGGCCAATCTGAATTTTTGAAATCTAAAGAGATTGTCAACATATTTAAATGAGTAAAATGAGATTGATTTTCTTTTATAGACTATGAAAGATTAACATATGTCGTTTGTTTTTAAAAATCGCTTAAAACTATACAGAATAACTATACAATCAGTTTATTTTTATGAAATATTTTCCGAGCATTAGTTTTGTTCGATGCTTTCCATAATTGCATCCTATAAAGCAATTGATAGTCAAAAGCTAAATATTACTCACAAATTGCCAAACTTGAAAAAAGTATCGATTTTTATACGTTTTTCGACACGCACAAGGTTTGGCAATATAGTACAAATAAAACAAAAACAATTTCTAAAGTTAATTAGTATAAAATTTTGCTTGAATATTGGAATAAAGTCCTATGATAAATGTTTGAAAAGAATTGTCCTTTTGTTTATTTAGACAGTAGGTATGTATCCATGCTTAAGAAAGCCTATTTTCCATCAATAGTTTAAATAGTGTTGAATAAGTTTTTGATCAATAGGTGGACAACATTTAAACATAGTGGTGTGACGACTAGTTTTTTCCATCCTAAATTTTGCAAATTTCATTTGATTGCCTTCAGCAAAGATTTTTTCAAAGAAACTAGCTAGAGTATAGGCTGGATTCTTCGGATTAGCGAGTAGCATACGCAACCATTCTTTAATCGAAACAACTTTAAATTGAAGTCCAGATAATTTTAAATGTTCAAGTAGTTCGGACCAGCTAATCACATGGGTATTGAGAATATGATGTACATGTTTGAAGGGTGTTGTGAATTCTGCAGTTGTATCGATAGCAATATCAACCACAGATGCTGCACCATAATTAACAGGGATCCAGTTTATTTTTTGACATTGATCGGGTAATACACCCATTTCTCCACCACCTGCACATATCATTAACGGTATCATTTCAGTAGTATTCCATGCACCTGTCTCACTATCACCACAAATCTGTCCAAATCGATAAATATCAACGGGTACATCTAAAATAAAAATAGGCAAAAAGTCTTGTTTAAAAATAGAAATTATCAATTGGAGATAGATGCATCATATTAAACGTCTTTTACTAAATCGAAAGAGAAAGTAAAGTGTTGTAAGATATAATAGTGACTCATTCCATAAATGCATAGCTGCCCAACATATATGTTCAGCAGCATACTTTGATTGTCCATAATCATGTGCAAGAGCTATATCTACTCGTCGTGGTAATGGTTCTTCTTTAATTTCTTTAAATAAATTAGAGCTAGCAGAGCTAATGCTTGAAATAAAATGAAAACGGATCGGTAATTTCTTCGTCGAGCTAGATGCAAATTCGAGCAATCGATATAGACCTTGCAAACACTCTCGATCAAAATCTTTAATAGGCATATTGCAATCCATTTTTCAGGCTGAGTGAATTATGTCAGTGACTTCATTCTGTAACTGATTGTAGATGACTTGAATTTGACCGAATCTATCATGATTAAGATCCATTTGTAAGATAATTATACGCTTATCGTCGAGTAGTAATGTTGAATTTTGTTCTCGTATTTCCATAACACGTCGCATGCGATCACAAGCATCCAGACCACGCACGAAGCAATAAACTAGACTAACTTGTGGTTTGTGTAATAATTGCAATAGTATTTGACTGCCAAGCGAACCATTTGCACCTGTGATTAAGAAGATTCGTTGATTTTCTATATTACTATCACAGTCGCTAGAATATTTTTTTCGAGACTATCATTCTTTGATTATTATGCGATTTGATCAAATTAATGTATTTATCAATGATGTCTTCGGTTTCTTTGTAATGTTTAGTATCGGTTGTTGCTTGAACTAATTGCTCTTTCTTTGCGATACGCAATAATTGATCAACTAGAGCATCAATCGATGAAAATTCATGAATTATATCATGATCAAGTTGACCAAATTTGTCACAAAGAATATTTCATAGTTCGATAGCAGTAAGAGAATCAAGTGAGAGTGAATGGAGAGATTTCAAATGATCAGAAAAGATCTCAACCGGTTTATTGAGAATTTGGGCTACTGTTTGTTGAAGATAGATACAAATATTGGTTTTGGTCAATAAGTAATTTTTTGAAAGTACTTGAGAATTATTGTTATTTTGTGATTTATTAAGAAATCGATCATACATTGGATCGATGATGGAACCGTATTCTTGATCAACTAATTTTCGAATAATATTACCCTTTCCAGTTATAGGCAAATGTTTATTCATCGGAGGAATTTTGATCAAAGGAGGAATAATGCGTGAATGTGTTGGTGCATTTTTATTGGCAACTTGTACAGCAGTAAAAACATGCTCTTCGATTGAACGAAGTTCATGTTTCAATGCTTCTTCAATATTGAGTTCAATAAGAGCTGAACAATAGGAACGTTGATGACCAAGAACAACAGCACGCTTTATAATTGAATGTTCTTGAATAGCAAGTTCTATCGGTAATGGATTTGTTTTTTCTCCAGTTGTATGTACAAGAATATCATCTTTACGACGTTGAATCATGTAGTAACCGGATCCTGGTGATTCTCCCAAAAATAAATCACCAGGAGAATATGGACCATTTTTAGCGTAATCGGGTGCAATAAATGGATCAATTGTAAAGATAAAAGCTTCGTAAATATTCGAATTGCTTTTTGTTGGCAAGAATTTAACGCTTGATTGTCGACTTTTGACTGGTCGATTACTCTGCCACCGATTTTTGTTAGTTGTTTCATAATTACTGATGCCAACATGTCCTATTTCTATTCAATAAAAACTCTAGTCAATATTATTATTCATGTTTGTGTGATGATAAGAATAAGTTCTAATGATTATTATCTGAAGAACAACAGAGATTACTTTTCAAAAGAATCTCAAATGACAGATGATTAATTTTAAAAATAATAGATAAGTAGTCAGTATATTACACTTAACTACATTTTCAATAACCACCAATTATCAACGTCTTTCTTTTCTTAATAATTAGAAGTCACTTTAGTTCATTTATTATGTACGTATATTAATTGATAGTTTATGAATCATAAACAAGTTGGCAATTTTCTTTTATTAAAAATACTGATGATTATTTTCTGTCATATTATCGATTTTGAATGATCCGATCTAAATCTATTCGAAAAGAGCAATTGAAATAAGAAAGGAAAAATTGAAGAAGTTTTCTATCAATTGATTTTGAATGTATAACAAGCACAGTTGACCTATCAACGATACAATGTTTTATAAGTTCTAATCTGACGGGAGTCCTCAATTTGACTGACCTGTTGATCGGTATGTATTGATAATATTGACACCTCGCTCGATCAACTCATTGCAAATATCAACCGAGCAGGAGGCATCACCATAAATCACGTATTTAAGACGAGCCATCGCCTGAAGACCCATGTTGTCATTTTGATGTAACCATTCGATGATCTCTCCAAGCAATAGACTAACAATCATCAATTTAGTAATTTCCGGATACTGTAAACTATCTAATATTTCTTTAGGTGATGATCGAAAAGATATTGTTAATGGCAATGCATATACTCCTTCAACGTGCCACATTATGATTGAAATCGACATACCCATGAAGTGAAATCAAAAATAGATAAAATAAATAATCGATCATAATTTTTCAATGAATAAATTATTCTCAATCGTAGCTTTTCCCACAAATTATCTTTGGTCTATGTTACACCACTTAGATATAATCACATTGAACTTTTCAAGGATCACTCGATTATCATATTAATGTCTAACTCATTAAATTTTCAATCTTAGAAAAAACAATCTATTCATTTCGTTTTATCATCTCAGCATAGCTAAGTATCAATTAACATCACATATTTGGAATTTATCTTTTTCTTTTTCTAAAAAAAAACTTCTTATAATGTTTAAATAATACGGCTTTCAAATTTTAGAATGGACTCTTTTCATCATGATGGACTTGTAGTATTCTACAACTACTTATTATCGAATAAAAAAAACCTTATAGAGTTCATTTTTCAATATTTATCAATTAGAATTTTGAATTGATTCGAGCTAAAATAGTGTTTATCCAGCGAATTTGATTACGAAAGTATTCTATTGAATTGAAATAAAATCTAATAGTGATTTGATTAATATTCGACTCACAATGGTAGCACACTTAAGACTGCGTCATCATCCGTCCAAAACCGATTATTCATTTCTAATGCAAAGCTCTCAATCCAACCAAATATACATCGAATAGTCAAACGTATTGGTTGCGGAAATGACGTACTTCCAGAACTAAAATAGCAAAATAAACATGCTACTACATAAATTTACCGAATTTTTCTATGATTTTCATGTATACCTGTGAAAAATGATGCAATACTTATCAAGATCATCTTTGCCAGATATGGGCTTAAATGTGGATTCTCCAAGATTGACAAGTTTATCGATGTCAATTTGTTTCAATTGATGTAATTCAATATCTGAGCCAAATTTCATATTAACTTGCGTGGCTATCGATGAATAATCTGTGGAATAGAATAGATAAGACGCATTTGACTTTTCCAGTAAATGAATAATCGTAGCCTCTGAATTGTGAATACTAAGTGGAAAAGCAATCACATCAAGCTTCAATAATGCATAGATTGTCAATAAATAACTTTCATCATTTTTTGCTAATAAACACACTACTGGTATTTGGCTCGTTGAACTTGGGCAGATTTGCATAGAACATTTTTATGCAAGATGACTTGTCACTTCATAGAATTGTTTATAGGTAAGTTTAGCATATATTTGTGGATCAACTTGATTTGGATATAAGAGATATATTTCAGTTGATCGTGTTGCCGCCTGTTTATTGAGCATATCAATTATTGATGAATCACGAAAACTATTATTAGTGATCACTCTTATAGGAAATGAGCGCGATCTACAACGATAACATTCACTTTTCAATATCAAAGAAATATTGACTAACTGTAGCGATATCGTTATGTCCTTACATCCTCATTATTTTTCTTCCTGTTATTCATATCTTCTTCTTCTGTTCTATTTGTACTTTCCTCTCTTCTGATTTCATGTATAAACGCGTGCTTTGTATGTAAATGATGCAATTCTTGATAAGAAGAAATATAATAAAGCGTAATTCCATCAGCACTAACACTTCTTCGATCTAAAAGTAGTTACACTAACACTTCTAGCTTCTATTTATTCAAATCACTAATTTCATATCTTTGGTCTTCATAATATTGATACTGATTAAACTCGTCTTAAATTCGACATATCGCAAGATAGTATACGGTTATGTCACGATTTCAGACAAGACTTAAGCAACGACTACTTAATCTATCAAATTGAATATTTTCAGCAATCCTAATATTAAAAAAAAGGTCAAATGAAAATGTCGATTCTTTTCGATAAGCCATAGATATTATCATGTACGCATTGTGAAAACGATGCTTCTTTCGAATATCAAATCTTTCAATAAAGATCAAATTGATCTGAGTAAGTTCGATTGAATCAATCTCATCTAAAAGAATCGATATACCGTTTATTGATCAACATGAAATCTGTTCTTGTACCGATTCAAACTCTGATATAATCAACTTCTCAAGACATGGTTGAGCAAAGGAGAAAAACTGATTATGTATAATAAAGATAGCGTCATGCCATCAACATCTATAGAAGTTGTTAATAAGTTTAATGAGTTAAGGTAGGAAATTAAATATGATAGAATAGCGACCAACTGCTCTAAAGTCTTTATCAGTATAGAATTGGATCAGCCAATTACCGGTACTGACTTCATCTTTTCCGTTCAGACTACGTCATATTTGTTCGAAACTGAATTTAGACGACAAAAGAGTCATTGACAAAGGTTTCTCGACTACGAATCTTTCTTCATCGAAATGTAGCTTGTAGCAACATGCACTAAAACATTGTTTTTACAATACATTAAGTGTTACTGTATTTCAGTTAGCAAATAATAATCTTAGGATGACGAATGCAGCTCAATGAATCAAATTAATTAGTTTTATCTATCTGAGGAATGAACTTGATATGATCATTCTCGTTGACATTCATTGGCGAAAAATACACGCTGTAATTGACTGTATATACCATATCAAAAACAAATATCTAGATAGAAGCAATATATACATATCACGTATCATTAAATGTCATAAAACAACGATATCTCTTATATAATTTTACTTTTTTTTGTAATCACTTACAACAGAACAGTATCAAACCATAATTTTTTTTTACTGCATTGTTTATAGCCGATTAAGATGGTTTCAGTGACATTTTTTGAGATCATTTCAACAGTCTTCGATGCTTTTAGAATCAATCTAGTTAATCTAGGAGAGATACTCAAATAAAGATTTCACTTACCGACCTTCAAACTTACTCAAATTAATCTATTTTCTAGAGACAAATCTTTTATGAATATATAGATCGATTCAAATTGAAAATTATCAAATTTTCGATTTCTTTTGTATTTGTATAAAAAAAGTGGAAAACATGAGGATTCTTTATAGAGTAATTATTCATATAAACATGATAGAAAATGAAAGATCGATAATTTTCGATTAGTCTTGGTAAAAAAAACCTTATATATAAACGGATTTTGTTACCCTCGATTTAAAAGAGTTTCGTTTATGAGATTTATAAATGTCGTTTTACGATTATGTATAATCATTGTCTTTTATCTTAATTGCTAAATATATTATTATTATTCACAATAAAATATACTGATACATATATCATTTCTAGGTTTGCTAGAATAACATTTAGCTGTATCAAATATTATTTTGTTTCGTGTATCGGTCTGATTTGTATCCTCAATAATTTGTTCAGACAAAATTGAATATGTTAGTGATAATGAGACTAGTGAAAATAGAAGAAGGAGACAAAACTATTTTTATTTAGGCTCACTGCAAATACAAACTCTAGTGTGATTAGTAATGATAAATGTGATATATCAATCGCGACTAAAGCTTATGCAGTTTATGAGCCATCTGATTCATTCAAATTATTTGAATTTGAAAGACATATATCAAAATCGACCGATGTTTTAATTCGAATTTATTATTGTGGCATATGTCATACGGACATTCATATGGCACTTAACCAATGGGGTTATTCGAAATATCCAATAGTACCAGGACATGAAATCACAGGTGTTGTTGAACAAATCGGTGACAATGTAAAGAAATTTCAAGTTGGCGATCATGTTGGTGTTGGATATATGATTAATTCATGTCGTACTTGTCATCTATGTGAGACTTGTTTTTAGTTTGATATTGAAAAATATTTTTTCTTTTAATCTAGGTAAAAGAGATCTCGAACAATACTGTGCTAATAAGTGCAACACATCTAATGGTACACAAATAGGTCAAGTGACACCGACATATGGAGGTAAAAGTTATTGTTTATATACGAAATTGTCTCGGATCACTGACAGATAGAATATAAATAAGTAACAGTGATGAATGAGTCTAAAATATCGACAACAAAAATAGACACAATTAAACAGAAAATCAATTCGAACATGAAACAATGTGAGAGTAATTGAAACGAAAACCACTGGATCTTGTACAACTTGAATCTATAAATATCTGACAATTTTCTCAAACATATTGTCGGAAATATGAAAAGAAGAACGTTAACTTTGATTAAAAATTATATTAAACAAAAAAATAATAGTCTCTAACCATATATGATATTAACTAAAATAACACATCTAACATATCAATAATTAATTGTAAATTTAATTTATTTCATACATTTTTGAGACATTTTCAATATCCAATTCTGTGAACCATTGAAATTCTTGAGATTATTGAAAGGACTCTATATTTTCAAACTTGAGATTTACATTCAACTTTCAATTTTCAATTTCGATTAATCAGGTTTCAACCTATAAGTTTTATTATTTCGATCTATATTCCTAGAGAGCAATCCATATTGGCTCGTTATTTGAAGTTAATCTCATACAATTCGAATCTTCATAAATATTTGAACTCGACTTTCAAGTTAGATATATATATATAAGATTCGAATGATTTCAGGAATTTTAAACATTGTAGACTTTTCAATATGTTGAAGAATTCTCGAGATTTGCCTATTTAATTGATAGTTTTTGTGTAAATTATTCGGATTCTCGAAATTCACAAGATTTAGCATTTTTTTTTTGGATGATTTTAATCGACAACTGCAAATAAAAATAATCGAATATGAACCAATAATAGAAGACAATTTACAATATATTAGAGAAACAGCTGTAAAGAAGACATTGAAAAAGTTGAATTACATCGAAATAAAATAGTAGAAAACGGAAGATAATATTCTTTGGTTAATAGTAGGCATTATTATTATAAAACTAAATGTAAAACAATATACATAGCTATTATCTTGATTTTATTTCATAGATGTTCTTAAACATGCTTGATTTTATTGTTTCACAAAGAAAACAAGCTCATTTGATGAAATTCAAATATTCTAAGAATAAAAATTCGAATTGATTATTTATTTGATATTCTCTTTTCAAAACTCACATAAAAGAAATGAAGATACATTCGAAATTTGATTCTGTCACATTCAATTTAAAGAAACTGTTATTCATTTATGCATTTTTCATATTTAACAGGTTATTCAAATTTCATCGTAGTTGATGAACATTTTGTAAGCAAAATTCCTAAAAATTTGCCATTGGATAGTGCTGCACCATTATTGTGTGCCGGTATTAGTACTTATTCATCATTACGATATTATAATGTTGGCAAAAACACACGCCTTGGGTAAATATATAAATATGTCATCTTTATTTACGATTCATTTTGTTTATTGTCATATAATAATAATAGAATAATTGGTCTTGGTGGTCTTGGTCATATAGCAATAAAATTAGGCTCAGCGATGGGAGCATATGTCATTGTTATATCATCATCAGAATCGAAACGTAATGATGCATTAAAACTCGGGGCTAATGAATTTATTGTTTCCAAAGATGAAAAACAAATGAAGCAAATAAAAAATTCATTAGATTTAATTCTTGATACAGTATCAGCACCACATGATGTTGCTTCTCTAATTGATCTACTTAGATTCGAAGGTGTTTATACCATGTATGTATATTTAATTTTATTTCTCTGTCACGATTATATGAATATTGATGAATATTCATATCTATTTTGACAGTCAGTTGAACGACACAAATTACATATTAATCAAAAATAAAAAGTTTTTATTTTGTAGACGAAAAAAAACAAGGCATAGAACTCATTTTTCTCGCTTTTTCTCTTTCTACAAATTTATAAATTGTTCAGACATATATATACTAAGTTTACATATCGTCATAAAAGTTAAGGTAACGTGTCTTTATATCACTTTATTCTACAAGATGAAGACTTTATTTTCTGAAATTATATCTAGTTAATATTATACTAATTATAGACAAAAACCTATGAGCATTAAGATATTTGACTGATATCGATGATCTAGTCTTTAATTTATTGATTATTTTTTTGTTTTGTTATTGAAGAATTGGTGCACCATCAAAATCACTTGAAATTCCAACATTTCCATTGCTAATGAAACGACCGATTATATCTGGTAGTGCTGTTGGTGGAATGAAAGAAACACAAGAAATGTTAGATTTCTGTGGTCAACATCAAATAACATGTGATATTGAATTGATTAAAGCTACACCTGAAGCAATCAAAACAGCTTTTGATCGAGTTATTAAAGCTGATATTAAATATCGTTTTGTACTTGACATAATCAATGCATTCAAATAATCATTTCGTTCCAGCATAAGATTCTATTTAGTTAGATTAAAGATTAAATTAAATATAAACATTTATCAAATACTATCTATCAATTTCGGATGTGTGTGTGTGAGGTGTAACTGTAGTTATAGATGCTGTAAATCTACATTTTAAGCTACTATGAATTGTGATAGTAAACGAGGAGCCATATTGCTTTAACTACTACAAAGCAAATAAAATAAAATGAAAATCACTAATAAGCCTTTACAAATAAAATTCATATTCCAAATTTAATTTCAAATTATATTCATTTGATATTATCTACTTACTCAACGTTATAGGTATATTTACTCTTTACTAGTAGCTTGTTTTAGAACTATTTGAAGTTCTTTCTGCGTCAACAAGACTAAAAAGCTATTCATAACATAACAAATATTACGACTGATGAATAATACGATTCTTTTGTCAGATTTTTTTGATACTTTTATTATAACTTTATTTTAGTATAGGATAAAGCATGCTAACATACACTTTGTTCGATGCACAATGATACGAATCTAAACTCTTATGGAGATACATTTCATCACATATGAATTTCAACACAGATCCGTTAGAATTAACTAACGGCAATGTATCAATATAATTGACAGAAAAATAGCGAACAAATTGTAAAAAAACAAGTGACGAGAAAATATACTGTCTTTTAAGACATATTGAAAACGGTTCAGAATACTGTTGAGTGATAGCGTTAAGGATCGCTCTCATGAAATGTGAGGTAAGTACAAAACAGTGACCAATATTTAGATTTGCATCTCGTAGTGACATTCGTTTGTAACCAACGATAAATTATTTGAATTCAAATTTATGTCATTAACATGTAATTAGGTATCAGAGAACTTTTCGTTTTCAAATGGTGAATAAGATAACGAAATAGCTTCATTTCAAGATTTCTTATAACTCGTTCGACCTTTTCCTGGTTTATTGTCACAAGATAATATCGAGTAATGAATACAAACTGGATCAAATGTGTCTTCTATTGTAGAATTGTTGTTGATATTAATTTGAAATGAGCACTGATATGTATTTAGTTTTTACATCTGATGATCAACAAAGATATAACTGCCGTATAATTTCTATTATGCCTGCAGGTAAGAAAATAATGTACTTCAAAACAAAAAAGGGAGAATCTTCATCATAATTCATAAGAACTATTCGATGAAAAACTGAAAATCTATTTTGAATCAAACTGAATTCAAAAAAAAATTGTAACAAAAGAAAATATATATATATAGTGATGTAACTTTAGTATAAATTGCTTGTTCAACAAAATCTACATTAAAAAAAGCACCAATTTGAAAATAGAATAAAAAAATAAATGTATCAAAGTCTTTATGTTTATGATATTGATTGATAAGTTCAATAAAGTAATTATGTCAAGTAAGAGTAAAGATAAGTAGAATGATAGAAATAATTATTATTATAATTGATAGCCCTCCTCTGGAGAAGAAGCTTTCTCACGACAAGGTTCACAACGAAATAAACTTTGAATAGTAGGACCCAAATGAGTGACATGAAATCGAATTGTAGAACGATATTCAGATTTAGCGTATAGAAATAAAAAAGTAATGGCACGCAAAACGAATCCAATTAAAATTAGCCAAAAAAATGGATTTTCACTGTCGTTGAATGAGAAATTGTGTTCAAGAAACTTGACTTGAGTTAGCCATATATGAGCTAAAGTACTGTTATATACTTCAACATAATGTGCTGTTTCATGACGAAATAACACACGTTGCACATGTCGAGAAAAAGAAAGAGTAACAATAAATTTTCCTCGACCAAGATCAGTTTTAGTTGGACTGAAACCTGACAATAAACAAGATAGAAGAGCAACAATAGTACCAGCTAAATATGCATATTCAGTTCGATTGAATATTACTGATGTTAGTTGACCGATAGCCGAACAAACAAATGAAAGAAGTATCATCATACTAAGATAATAAGAAAATGGACCACGTGGTACAACTTCAATATAAAGCATACTGAGAAATAATAATGGATAGAAAATCATTCGAAATATATCAACTAAGCTTTTTGCTAACCAATATTGAAATGGATGAAAATAATTTCGACTTTCTCGTTCATATGTCTTATTTGTTATTTCGACGCCAAATAGACGTTGACTTGATATACATGTTAAAATACCAAAGGAAAGACTCATGAGAAAGTAGATTGTTGGCAACACTTGTATATCACATGTACCTTGTTGTTTGTTTTCAAATAGATAACCGACACAGGCACCCAACAAAAAATAGGCAAGCATATAGGTTGCTTCAGCAATGGCACCACGTACATATATTTGCTTCATAGAACGAGACACGACATAGAGAAATGGCAAACACCATCTTTTCGTCCATGAATATGTTTTGAGTGGTTGACTAATTATTTGATTGTCTATTGAATGATTTTCAATATATTCTGGAGCTTTGGTTAACATAAGGAAGCATGTATCACAATCATTGTGTCGAACAGGAGGATGATCTTTAGTTGAATGATTGAAAATTTTTTCTGATAAAAATTCTTTTGCTTTATTTCGTGGACCTTGATAAGCCAAACAACAATGAGGAGTTAAAAAAAAGATATCATCGATTTGATGAAAAAGTTCTTGACTCGGTTGATGAATAACCATTATTATTGTTACTGGTCCAGCGGCACTATATTTTATTAATTGTAATAAATCAAATAGATGATCACAAGAAACTGTATCCAAGCCTGATGTTGGCTCATCTAGAAGTATTACCTTTGGACATGCAACAATTTCCATAGCAACATTGACGCGTTTTCTCTGTCCTAAATATATTAGAATTAGCCTGATTAATCACTAGAAATACTTTAAAAGATTCCAATTTCAACGAAGTTTCACGTCTTACATGAAATTTTTCTCAAAAATTGAATCATTTAGGATAATGGTATGATTACGAAAAGCAATTCCTTGATAAGAAAAGATATGAATAATATCATTTGATTCTAAGCTAAAAATTTTAAAAGTAATTTACTCTTCCTTATAAGTTCACATAAAAATTCTTTCACTATTTATTTTTCTATCCAAGCAACAAACTAAACTTGATCAAATATTTTTATTAATCGAATATTGTTTATTCAATTGTAGTTATGTACTAAACCAATATGTCTGTGAGGATTTTTCTTATTTTCAATCTGATTCTTATAGAAAGTTAAGAAAGTTTCATCGATCAAAAGAGATGCTGATATTTTATCCCGAAACCCTGACCTTTGTATGCCAATAATGTCTCTAATAAAGGGAAAGGAATAGCGGACAATATGATCAATATACATGAGTAACTCTTTCAACTGTTATTCTATACTTATCATTACATCTTAATCATTGTAATACTATAAATTTCAAGTTAATTTACCTCCCGATAGAGTTCTTGTCATACTGTTATGCAAGAATTCCAATCCCAATTTTTCCAAAACAAAACAAACGTCATTTTTGATGATATCCTGCGAATCATTTAGACGTCTCGCTCGTGCAGAATAATAGACAGTTTCAAAGACGGTTAGATCATCATGCATAATATCGGCTTGTGGTACATAACCAATATAATCCGTAAGAATATTATTTAATGGTTCGTGTTCAGCAAACTTAATGTAGCCATTTGCATGCAATCTTCGACGACCGTGAATTGTTTCCAGTAAACTACTTTTACCACAGCCAGAGCCACCCATTAATGCTGTTAATCGACCAGCAGTAATGCGACCTGTAAAACCTTCATTTCGTTCTAGATCAAAACGTGTCACATTTCGTAGTTTAGCTCTGTAAAGATGAATATTTAATTGGAAAGTCGGATTCGATTTCGATTTTGATTTCGTCGGTTTCTTGAAATAATTGCTCACGTTTGATGCATCCTCTAAAGTATGTTGTCCTAAAAGCTTTTTCTTCAAAACGAGCCATTGAAAAATTTCCACAACTGCAACATAAACAACAATAATGACGACAAAAGAAACAGTAACACTGGTCAAAAGACGCTGTCGTCGTGCTCTTCCACTTAAACAGACAAACTGTGATGGACACGGCAATGGTTGTTGCACACCAGTTGGACAGTAACTTGTACCATCCGGACATGGCTCACTCTCATAGGACATTTTACAAAATGATCCAGCTGGACAAAATCCTTCGAATGTCGAGCCACCGCATCCGTAGATTCCATAAGTTTTTGGTGGGTAATATGGACATGACACTGAACTTTGACAAGTTCCATTGATAGATTTCAATGCTGTAGGACAATATGAACCAGGTCGACACGGTATCATGCAGAGTTGTCCTTCCGGACAAAAAAAACCAGCACAACAGGCCAAATGAACCTTACGTATTTGATCTGAGAAGAATCCTGCTTGGCATGCTTCACTATTTTGTCCACATTCTTGAAAATTATAGAGTTCGATGGCAGCTTGTGCATCATTCTCGTAAAATTTAGCTATGATGTCATTGGAGCAAGTGTGCATACCTATAAAACTTGGATCCCAACAGAAAGGACCGGCTGAACAGTCAGGTTTAAAACTCCATTGCTCTTGAGTATTATTCGGTTGACATTGTAAACATGATAAACTATAATTTGAATATGTTTCGTTCACTCTGTAACAGTGATCTCCTATATAACAAAAGTCATTTTTTGTTTTGCACTGGTCATTAACAAACTCTTGACAACTCGCATTACACGCATTATGATACGGTTGTAATTCTTTACGTCTAGATGTGTGTTCAATTGCATAATTATTCGAAAATGAAGGCCATGCACTTGATTCGACGAGTGGGATTATTGAAAGAAATATTAGTATCCATAATATACTTCTCGATCTTCTTACAATCATTGTGCTTACTTGAATAAATAATAACAATAATGTTTGCTACTTATATATATATATATATATATATTTGAGAATAGAAAACGAGGCGTATGATAAGATAAGAATGAAAATGATTCAAACTACGAAATATTATCATTGATGTTTATAAACATTGACTACTTATTTATTAATTCACGTTACATATTATCTGCAATAGATATTCTTAATTTGCGTAGGATGACACGAATTTGTCAAAAACTCTTTGTTCAACATCTGTTGTTTATCTCTCAAATAATGATACTTGTTTATTCACGTGAAATAGCAATTCTTTCATCTAGAGCCCATCAGGTTGTACTCGTATTCTATTGATTTTGATTATAGATCTGAAAAACTTTCGACGTGACAAACTTGACTCTTACTATAAAGAGATTTTGTTTCTGAGATGTTTTGTCTATATAAAGATCAGCTCTTTTAATTAATAATGTCAAAATCATATCAGCACACTTTTGATAGTCACAAGCCGAGATTTTTTTTTTTGTTGTTGCCGAAAATGAGTAGCTTGATATCTAAACAGTTGCAATTGTGTATTTTATTAATCGGACAGGAATATCATCATTTAAACTGACTAGTTTGGAAAACTTGCTCTGTCTACATCAATAGAGATGTCCTTGATAAAATTTGTTTTGTTTTGTTCTTATTATAGTTTTAGATGATAACTGAAAATTATCTATGAAATGCTAAACACATATTCTTTTTCATTTGATAACTGGTAAAACTATTTTTATCATATAAACAATAATAGTTAACAATAGTTTATGTAAGAATACTATTAATGTATTAACTCAGTATTGATAGTTTAATTGACTGTAAAACATGTGTAAGACGATTATTGAATTAATATATTTTATTAATTCTAATAAAGTAGAATATCAATCGATTGAATTTAGAATAAATAAGAACATCTTAGAATTATCCTAGTAAATAATACACTAATATAGAAAACATAGATTTATTTGATGATAATAGTTTAATATTTATCTATTAATGGTATCTATTTTATTTATTAGAGAAGAGTTGACGAGTCAATAAAAAGGAATACAATCTAAAGGATATTATATTTGTTTCTTGGCTAGAAAATCTCATTTAAATATATAAATTGTAATGGAATCTACTAAAACATTTAAATGATAACTAGTATAGAATTGTTGAATAAAATAGTTAAATTAAATTAATTTGTTTACAATGTATTGGCACTACCAAGATCATTGAATGCTTCTTGAACTCGTTTTTTCATTGATAATTCAGCTTCACGTAACCATACACGAGGATCATAATATTTTTTATTTGGTTTTTCTTCAGCATCGAGTACACCTTGAAGTCGACCTTCATTTTTTTTATAATATTTTAAAACACCTTCCCAATAAGCATATTGTGTATCTGTATCAATATTCATTTTAACAACACCATTTTGAACAGCTGTTTTTATTTCATCTTTTGTTGAACCTGAACCACCATGAAAAACAAGAAATACAGGATGATTATCATTTGTATTTAATTTATTTTTAACATAATCTTGATGTTTAGCAAGTAATTCTGGATGAAGTCTAACATTTCCTGGTTTATAAACACCATGAACATTACCAAAAGCAGCAGCTATTGAAAAATGAGGAGCTATTGATGAAAGTTCTCTATATATATCCCATATATCTTCTGGTTGAGTATAAAGTGCTGCATTATCAACACCTGTATTATCAAC